CTCTAGACTTAAAAGAGGTATTTCAAATAATTTCTAAGGAAAATGACAAACTTCAAATGCATGAATGAATATGTAAATATCATTCATATTATAGAACAATGCACCATGAGCAAGAGGCAGCAGAAACAGACAACAGAAGGTATTCATGAAAACTTTAGCTTCCAGAGTTCTCCAAAACACATTATTAAAAACACCTGCTCTTTTCAAATAAAATCAAGCTCAAAAATATCTGCAGAAAACAGAGCTATGCAAAATGACCTAGCAAATCTATAAAGAACCAATTTCTATAGATGAAAAACATAGTAATAACTATTCAATGATAGGTCCAACAAATACTGGTGAAGAGGTGGTTATGAAACAGAACAAATTATCCTGTGTGCAAATAGAGCAAATAAATGAAATGTAGAAGTGGTTAAAAGATGAAATACTGAATAAGAAAGAATATTATGTCTAGCTATTATGAAGTTCAAGAAGAAGAAGAAAGAATGAGCCACAAGTAATATTTGAGGAGATAATGGCTGAGAATTTTCCAGAACTGATGAAAGATATGTGTCACATATTCCAGATTCCCCACAAGTGACAAGGCAGATAAATAAAAAGATCATAATTAGGCCGATACGGTGAACACACCTGTAAGTAATCCCAGCACTTTGGGAGGCCAAGGCAGGAAGATTGCTTAAACCCAGGAGTTTAAGAACAACATAGCAAGACCTCGTCTCTATAAAAAAAATTTTAAAAGTTAGTGGGCATGGTGGCACACACCTGTGGTCCCAGCAACTCAGGATGCTGAGGAGGAAGGATCACCTGAGCTCAGAAGGTTGAGACAGTGGTGAGCCATGATTGTGCCACTGCACTCTAACCTGGGTTACAGAGTGAGACCTTGACTCAAAAAAAAAAAAAAAATAGGTTATACTTAGATACATTTTAATAAGAATTACCAAAGATAAATAGAAATCATCTTATACATATCCAGAAAGAGGAAAATAAATGAATATTACCTTCAAAAGGTGACTGTTAGATTGATAACTAAATTTTCATCAGCAAGAAAACAAAAAAAATGAAATAATTTGATTTACTCATATAAAAAATTCTGCCAGCCTGATATTCTATACCCAGTGAAAATGTATTCAAGAAAAAGAGTTGGCCAGGCTCAGTGGCTCAGCCTGTAATCCCAGCACTTTGAGTGGGTTCAAGACTCGCCCAGGCAACTTGGCGAGACCTCATCTCTACAATAAATAAAAAATTAGCTGTGCGTAGTAGTTCCAGCTACTTGGAAGACTGAGGCAGGTGGATCGCCTGAACCCAGCAGGTTGAGGCTGCAGTGGCCGGGAGCGTGCCACTGCACTCCAGTCTGGGCAACAGAGTGAGACTCCAACTCAAAAAAAAAAAAAAAAGAAAAAGAAAAAAGAAAAAAAGTTAAAGGAAATTTTCATAAAGCAAAAATTCAATTTCATCTTAAGTTTTAAAATAAAATAAAGTACACCACCATATAATGTGGTTGGGGTAAGACCAACAGAATTTAAGGGTCTTAAACTTCTATGCAGTCTGGGGGGCGGTGATGTTACTGATTAAACTTAGACTTAGAAAGTACACATTATAACTTCTAAATTAATCAGTAAAAGAAAAGAAATAGAGTATACAACTATAAATGAGTAGGGATGAAAATATAATGATTGGGGCACAAAGAAAGTACAAAATAAATTGGTTGATCTAATCAAAATACAGGCGTAATTGTGTTAAATGTAAATGGACTACACAATACAGTTAAAAGACACATACTGTGAGATGAGGAACAGGGAGTCCAACTACAAGCTGTTTACAAGTGATATCTATAACGTTAGGAGACATACATATATACACACATATATATACATTTCAATCATAAGATGAAAAAAATTTATACCATACAAATTCTAAGCAAAAGACATAAACAGACAAAAATAGTACTAGAGAAAGGGGTCACTTTGTAATGATAAAAGTTTTAACAACCATAAGGTAAATATAACTATTTTACTTTTACCCAAAGATATATTCTCAATTTATATAATGTAAAAATTGAGAAGAATCAGAAGGAGAATGAGCAAAATAACATATACAATGAAAGATTTTACACACTTCTTTCAGCAATTGACAGAATAAGTAGACTGATAAAAATCAATAAGAATATAAGACTTGAAGAACATAGTTAAGAAAACTAACCTACTGTATAGGTTAATTTGGGTGCTATATATATGTATATACATAGCACCCAACAATTGTGGAATATAATCTTCTAACCTTTAAAAACATTGGCATATTCTGAGCCATAAAGTATATCTTAAAATTTCAAAGGATATAATCATACAGAATATGTTTTCTAGCCACAATGCAATCAAACTAAAAAGCAATAGCAAAAAGATAGTTAGAAAAATCCTATACTATTGAAAATTAAGAAATACACTTCTAAGTAAACTTTAGATAAATAAATAAATATAAATATAAATATTTTAAATAACTATGTGTGGAAGTCACCTATAGAAGTACTTAGGAAGAAATAAATAGCATTAAATATATTAATATAGAAATATATGATAATATCTGACTCTTGGTAGAGAACAATTTCACATGACTAACCATAGAGAAAAGATTGATGAATTAGAATTCATTATAATGAAAAATTTTTATTAAAAAAAGTCACAAACACATTACACAGAGAAAGAAGTACAAACAATAGAATGAAAGAAGATATTTACAGCATGTATAACCAAGAACAAGTGTTCAGAACATATGAAAAATTCCTAGGAATCAATGTAAAAAGATAATTCAATAGACAATTGGGTAAGATACTTTAGACACTACACAGAGGAAGAAATTCAAAAGGCTAATAAACATAAAATTATGGTAAAGCTTGATCAGGGATATTAGAATTAAAACTACAGTGTAGTGGGGCACGGTGGCTCAAGCCTGTAATCCCAGCATTTTGGGAGGCCGAGGTGAGGGGATTGCCTGAGCCCCACGAGTTCAAGAACAGCCTGGGCAGACCTCATCTCTACAATAAATACACGCCTGTTGTTCAGCTACTTGGGAGGCTGAGGTGGAAGGATTGCCTGAGCCCAGCATGTCGACGCTGGGGTGGCCGTGTGCATGCCACTGCACCCCAGCCTGGGTGAGGGAGTGAGACTCCAACTCAAAAAGAAAAGAAAAGAAAAAACTTCAGCACACACAGACACACACATGAGAAACTTAAAATACCAAGTGTTGGTGAGCACTATGAAGCAACAGAACTTTCATAAATAGCTGGTGGGAAAGTAAATTGATAGAGTCAGTGAAAAAACAGCTCATCTAAGGTTGGGCGCAGTGGCTCAAGCCTGCAATCCCAGCACTTTGGAAGGCCAAGTTGAGAGAACTGCCTGAGCCCACGGGTTCCAGACCAGCCTGGACAACTTGGTGAGACCTCATCTTTACAATAAATCAAAAAATTAGCCAGGTGTGGTAGCGTGCACCTATAGTTCCTGCTATTTGGAAGGCTGAGGTGGAAGGATCTCCTGAGCCCAGTGGATCGATGCTGGGGTGGCGGTGAGCGTGACACTGCACTCCAGCCTGGGTGCAGAGTAAGACTCTGACTCAAAAAACAAAACAGAACAAAACAAAAAAACAGCACATCTAAAACTGTTAAAGATATACACACTTTCCACCTCAGCAATTCTACTCCTAAAAATATACCTAGAGAGAAATTGTCACATATTTATCAGGAGAAATGCACATGATTCTTCATAGTGGCATTATTTATAACAACTAAAACTGCAAAAAGCCAAATATCCCACAGCACTGGAATGAATAAATTGAGGTATATTCATATAACTAAATGCTAAACTTATAAAAAGGAATATACTTCACCTACATGCATAAGCATAAATGAATGTTACAAATAATTGAGCAAAAGAAGCAAGTCATACAAGATATACACATTATAATGTCATTTGTTTACCTTTCAAACCAGATAAAACTAAACTGCACATTTTTTAGGAATACAGAGAAAACAAAGACATAAAAAAAGCAACAGAAGGACTTTAGCAAACATTAAGACAATCATAATCTCTGTGAAGGATGGGAGAAATTAACAGGTAATAATCTGGTATGGAAGAATTCTAAGCCAATGGTAGTTTTTGAGTTCTCAATCTGAGCTGTGGTTATGCAGATGTTCACTTTGTAATTATTCTTTAAACGGTGTACATCTGACAATCTCTTCAGAATGTCTGGTATTTTTCACAATGCAAAAGTGAAAAAAAAATAGTGGAATCAAACACAGAATGAAGTGGGGATATGGGTTTCAGGTAAAGCATACCAGGATTTTGAAAGTAACAGTAATGTTCTCTTTGTAAAACTGGCTGGTGGTTTGCAAGTATTGGTTGCTATTCTAAATATCCTATACATAACTTATAACTATTTGAATATGTAGTTATGAACTTTTTGATATGTAGTTTTAAAATAATAAACATGCAGTTAAGAAGCATCATAAGAATGGAAAAGTGTTATGTTAATTAATTATATTATATACAACATTACACTGTATTATATACAACATTGTGAACAAGCCTGGAAATCTTCATACCACTGTTATTATGAGAAAATGAATTCGGATCAATAACTTGATCATGCAACCTTTTAGAACACTTCTTATAAACTGCAAGTGACCTACTTGAGGATGAAGTAAGCTCTGGACCAGACCCTTAGGGAATGTGTCCCCACTGCACCCTTTTCTGAGACTGGAAAGGAGGCATGGCTGGCTGGTGGGATTCAGGTCCCAGGCTACATCTTCCTTAGTAGAAGGGATTCCTGCTAAGTGCAACCCCCTGTTTCTCCCCTAACCTTCATAAACATCTAGAGCTCAGCTTATTCTATGACCTGGCAATAATCACCCCGTAAAGTGATTTTATTTGTTGCACTCTGAGTAACCGCCCAGTTTGCAAAATCAGACTGATTACATTTTATTCTACAGAAAGAGTTTATTATTCTCTCACCTCCATCTTCCAAGTGTTGCAGCTTATGTTTGAAGCCAGTACTTTCCATTAATGACTCTTGGTTCACAGTCTTAAAAACAAAACAGACATCACACATATACCAGGGATGCCAAAAAAAAAATACACATTTTAAGCAATGTTATCTATATATTACTTTTAGATCACCATAAACAGAAGTGTCTGGACACGATGGTAACCACTTTGAGCTCCTCTTGTAATTGCAGAAGTCAAACATGACTTGTATTCATCTTTTGTTATTGGTATATATTGAGTATTACAATTTTAATATAGTTTCTTCCTTTCTTAAAATGTGTATACATTTTTTGGCACCCTCTGTGAATATATTATGGCAAATTAAGAAACAAGTGGTGCTATATCACCCTTTAAAAAAAGGAATAAGATAGTTTGTTATGCAAATATGTTAATTCTTGAAAACTAGATGAATAACCAACAGTTAAATAGTACCTTAGACACATTTTCTTTATCATCTGAGTACTCCAAGGAAGAGAGCTCACTCTGTGGGTGAGGACCTTGAAGCTCTGAGCATTAGAGAGAACAGTTTCAAGTTAATCAACACACCAAGTCACAAACTGAAGCAATGACATTTCACTATCACTCTAGTTATTAAATTTCATCATCTGAAAAAGGGGATATGGTTCTAAATAAAACAAAAAATTGTATCTTCCAGGACTTGGATGCTTGTGACATTTATAGATCTGTGGAAAAAATGAAAAGCCAGGTACCACGACCAGATTTTAAAGCACCACCAGGAGCTACCCACCTGGCCCCAAATACGTGGGCAAAGATTCTTCTACCTCAACCTTGTGATCCTCCTCTTCTCTCCATCAGATTTTTTGTTGTTGTTGTTGATGATTTGATGTATATTTGAGGGGGACCAAAAAACCCAGAATTTATTTATAAAAAACTATGTATTTATTCTTACAGGATTAAACTTCAGTCACCTTCGAAGTACTCTGTTTGACGCAATACATCTATCAAGACACATTTTCCACTGCTCAAAACAGTTTTTGAACTGTGTCGAATTTGACACATTTTAGTGCTTGTTTTTTTGTTTCACCTCTTCCACATCAGTAAAATGTTGTCCCTTGAGGACTTTTTTCATCCAGGGAAACAAAAGAAAAAGTTGTTTGAGGGGAGACTGGATGAATAGGGAAGGTGGGGTACAGGGTCATCCTGTTTTTTGGCAAAAAACTGCTGAACATTCAGTGCAATATAGGCAGATGTGCTCATAAATCATCCATAATGAAATGGGCAAGCACATTGAAAGAATCTCAAAAAAAAAAAAAAAGAATTCACTGAAGTCAAACACAGCCTCTCACAACAATGCTAGCTGGTACAGTGATACCGGCAGGTTTTGAGAACACTTAGGGGGAAATCTTGCACAACAAGGGGTCTGCCCTCCAAAAGATAATGCCATTTTGGGGATGTCCCATATACCTTGTGTAATGATTATAACTTCAAGTTAATAAACACGTCACTATTCATGTTGTACATTTGAGCCCCAGAACTTGTTCATCTTATGCCTGAAAGTTTATATACTTTGAGCGACATCTCTCCCTTCCCCAACCTTTCAGTGCTTGGCAACCACTGTTGTACTCTGTTTCTTTGAGTTTTGACTTTTTTAGATCCCATATAATAAGTGAGATTATATTTGTTCTTTTGTGACTGCCTCCTCTCTAACATAGGTTCATCCATGTTGCATATGGTTTTTTTTTTTTTTTTTTTTGAGGCTGAATAGTATTCCATTGCTTGTATATATCACACTTGCTTTATTCATTCATCCACTGATAAACACCTAAGTAGATTCTGTATCTTGGCTATTATGAATAATTCTGCAATAAATTTTGGGATGCAAATATCTTTTCAAGACACATTTTATTTCCTTTGGATATGTACCTGGAAGTAGAATTGATGGATTGTATGGTAGGTCTGTTTTAATTTTTTGAGGAAAGTCTGTATTATTTTCCACAGTGGTTGTACCAATTTACATTCCCACCAACAGTGTACAAGGGTGCCCTTTTCTTCACACCCTTACCAATGCTTATTTCTTATCTTTTTGATAACAGTCATTCTAACAGGTGTGAGATGATATAAAATTATGGTTTTGACTTGCATTTCTCTGATTAATGATGCTGATCACCTTTTCAGATATTCATTGGTCATTTGTACATCTTCTTTGGAAAAATGTCTATTTGGGCCCATTGCACATTTTTTAAAAGGGTTGTTTTCTTGCTGTTGAGTTGTGTAAGTTCTTTATTTTTTAATATTAATCCTTTATCAGCTATATAGTTAAAAAATATTTTCTCCTACTTTGTGGACTGTCTTTTCATTTTACTAATTGTTTTATTTGCTCTACACATGATTTTTAGTTTGATTTGTGTTTGGTTTTTATTTTATTTTGCTTTTTGGTGTTAAAACTTGGACATGAGCCACACAAATGATTTTTATATGTTGATTTTGTTACTAAATTTTGTGTTATAATAGTTTTTTGGTGATGTCTTTAGGATTTCCTATATTTAAGATCAAGTCATGTACAAACAAAAATAATATAAGTTCTTCCTTTCTAATTTGGATGCCCTTTCTTTTTCTTGCCTGATTACTCTGGGTAGAACTGCCAATACTATGTTGAATAGAAGTGGTGCATCCCTGTCTTATTGTGTACTTGAGTAGGATGTTAGCTATGGGCTTGTCATATGTGGTCTTTTCCATGTTTAGGTACATTCCTTCTGTACCTAATTAGTAGAGAGTTATCCTGAAAAGTTGCTAAGTTTTGTCAAATGCTTTTTTACATCTATTGAGATAATTCTATGAATTTATCCTTTATTCTGTTAATATGGTTTGTCACATTCATTGATATGCATGTATTAAACCATCCTTGCATCCCAGGAGTAAATCCCACTTGATTATGGGGTATGATTCTCTCAATGTGCTGTTAAATAGGGTTTATTAGTATTTTTTAAGGCTTTTTATATTTAAGTTTATCAGAAATATTGGCCTATAATTTTTTTTGTACCATTCTTATCTGGCTTTAGTAGGAGAGTAATGTTGGCCTCATTAAAATTAGTTTGAAAGTGTTCCCTCTTCCTCAATATTTTTGGGATAGTGTAAAAAGGATTGGTGTTAATTTTTTATATGCTTTATAGAATTCACTAATGAAGTCATCTAGTCTTGAACTCTTCTTCAAGAGAGTTGATTACTGATTCAATATCCTTACTCATTATTGATCTGTTCAGATTTTCTATTACTTCATTTTCAGTCTTGGTAGGTTATATGTTTCTAGGAATTCATCCATTTTTTTCTAAATTATCCAGTTTGTTGTATAATTGTTGAAGTTTCTTATAATCCTTTATATTTCTGTGGTGCCAGTTGTAATGTCTCCTTTTTCATATATAATTTTCCTTATTTGAGTCATCTCTCTTTTTCTCTTGGTTAGTTTAACTAAAACTTCATCAATTTTGCATATCTCTTCAGAAAACCAACTCTTAGTCTCACTGATCCTTTCTGTAATCTTTCCAGTTTTTATGTCATTTATTAATACCCTAATAGTTATTATTTCCTTCCTTCCACTGACTTTGAGCTTAGTCTATTCTTTTTTCCAGTTTCTTGAGATGTGAAGTTAGCTTGCTTATTTTAGATCTTTTCTTAAAAAAAAAAAAAAAAGCATAATTGCAAGAAATTTCCCTTTAATATTGGTTTTTCATTTTATAAGTTTGGGTATATTGGTTTCCATTTTCATTTGTCTCAAGATACTTTTTAATTTTTCTTTTAATTACTTATTTGATCCATTGGTTGCTCAGGAGTGTATTGTTTAATTTCCACCTATTTGGAAATTTTTCAATCTTCTTCCTGTTATTGATTTTTAGCTTTATATCATTTTTGTCAGAAAAGACATTTGAGATTATTTTAATCTTCTTTAATTTATTAAGATGTGCTATATACTCCAACATATGTTCTATCCTGGAGAATGTTCCATGTATACTTGAGAAAAATGTGTGCTCCACTGCTGTTGAATGAAATGTTCTTTATATGCCTGTTAGGTTCATTTGGTCTATAATACTAATCAAGTCCACTGTTTTCTTCTTGATTTTCCAACTGGATAACCTATCCATTGTTGAAAGTAGGGTATGAAAGAATTCTATTATTGTATTGCTGTCTATTTCTCTCTTCAGTTCTGTTAATATTAGTTTTATATATTTAGGTGCTATAATGTTGAATGCACATATATTTATGATTGCTACATTCTCTTAATGAAGTACCTTTTATCATCATATAGTGACCTTGTCTTTTGTGTTAGATTTTGACTTAAAGTCAATTTTGTCTGATAGAAGTTACATTCCTTCTCTCTGTTGGTTACCATTTTCGTGGAAAATATTTTTCCATCCTTTCAGTTTATGTTTCTCCTTAAGGCTCAAGTGAGTCTCTTTAAACAACATATTGTTGGATCATGCATTTTCCATCCATTCAGCTACTCTGTGTCTTTCGATTGGAGAATTTAATCCATTTAAAGTAGTTAGTAACAAGTAAGAACTTACTATTGCCATTCTGTTAACTGTTTACTGGCTGTCTTGTAGCCTCTTTATTCCTTTTACTCCATCTTGCTATTTTTCTTTCTTTTACTCTAAAATACTATATTTTCCTCTCCTCTTTCTTTTCCCTACTTCTTTTCATCAAGTGGCAGCTAGACTACAGGTTGTTAATGAAGTGCTTATTAAGTGTCTTTGTATGCCTGGCAAAGTGCTAAGCTGCAGGATAATAAAACTGAACAACAACAAAAAATCACTATTTGTAATAAACTTACATGATGCAAACAGTTAAAATACAGTAAGGGTTAAGATAAAGCTTTTAAGTCAAGGGTTGGTACACTATGGCCACCAAACCAAATCTAGTCTGCCACCTGATTTTGTAAATAAAGTTTTATGGAAACACAACCATACCCACTGGCTTACAAATTGTCTGTGGCCAATTTTAGGCAACAAAATTGTTGAATAGCTGCAATAGAAATCATTGGGTTAAAAAGCAAAAAAATATTTACTATCTGATCCTGTACAGAAAAAGTTTACCAATCTCTGCTATAGGTCATCATTTGAACTGTCTTGCTTCTTTAAAAGAGGAGTACACCGGCAGTGCTTGTGCACAAGCTAATTTCAAATGTCAAAGCAAAATTAAAATACAATATCCTCCTATCTTTTGTTAATAGAGACATTAAAGGGAAGACCCATCTTACCTTCTCACTTTCTTCAACAGATATTAAAAGAAAAATGTACTACTTCAAACTACCTTTCCCAAAATATAATTTTTGTCTATATAAATCATTAGAAAATCATATACCTGTTTTCTGGGCAGAATCTTCAGGAGTTAAAAAGGCAGAACTACCTTGGAATTTTTTTTCAGGGATTTTTGGAGGTGTAGTAATGTTATTTTGCCTGGACATGTCTTTCTGTAATGGTGACAGAAGTTTAGCCTAAAACATAGTATCTTTTAAAAATGTTAACATTCATAACCATTCAAAACAAGTTACCAAAAATTCTGAGATGTTTTCAATATCCTTTTACAAAGCTTAGGTATTAGATTTACTCCATTTGAAAACAAATGTTCAGATCGTAAGATCCCAGAATCAGAGCATTAGATATTTCAATTGATAACTGTCACTGGTTTTCAAAGTGTGGTCCAGACTAGAGTGTCGTTGACACCTGGGAACTTGATACAGTGCAAATTCTCAAGCCCCACCTATGTCTTGCTCAATTAAAAAACTCTAGGAAGCCGGGCTTGGTGGCTCAGCCTGTAATCCCGCGCCTTTGGGAGGCTGAGGTGAATGGATTGCCTGAGCCCGCGGGTTCGAGACTCGCCTGGGCAGCGAGACCTCATCTCTACAATAAATCAAAAAATCAGCTGGTAGGCGTGGTAGCGCATGCCTGTAATTCCAGCTACTCGTAAGGCTGCGGCGGAAGGATCGCTGGAGCCCAGCAGGCAAGGCTGTGGTGGCTAGAAGCGGCCACTGCACTCCAGTCTGGGTGACCGAGTGAGACTCCAACTCAAAAAATAAAAATAAAAAATTCTAGGGATAAAATCCAGCAATCTGTGTTTTACCAAGCCATCCTATTTATTCTGATGACCACTAACCACTGTTCTAAATCAAGAGTCAGCAAACTGCAACTCTTTGCCTACTCTTGTAAATAAAGTTTTATTGGAACACAGCACACCCATTTGTTTCCATATTGTCTGTGGCTGCTTTCTGGCTACAAAGGTAGAGTTGAATACTCACCACAGAGACTTGGTGGTTCACAAAGCCTAAAAATATTTACTATCAGGCCCTTTACAGAAAAAGTTTGCCAGTCTCTGCTTTAAATTATTCACTTATTCACAGAAAAGTGTATTCTGAATACCAGTATTTGTACAAAATCAGCAAAGCCCTCACTAAAAATCAGCATAGACTTCTTGCTAGTTGCACAGCTTAAAAATTCATGAATTTGCAAAGCTGTGATATTTCTTTGATGCTTATTTAAAACAAAAGCTGTATTTACTACAAACTGTCCTCTTGGCCCATTTGTAACTGATTACTCAGTTTCAGGTTGAACTATTTAATGAATAGTTAAGTACTTACTCTGGCTCGTAAATTTAACCCAGCTCTGTCATTACAAAATATGAGAGTCCTTTCGATTCAGAGGGCAACATGCCCCAGCCTGACGGGAGAAGGTAGATGGAGCTGTGATTGGTGCCCTAATTGCACTGACTTTCTGCACAGGCAGGAGGACACCCTGAGAATCACAGCAGCTGCCCCTTATAAAATTCTTATGTACTTGGTACTATACTCTATATTCTATATATATCTCATTTCACAAGAAACAGAAACCAATTGCTAAGAAAGATAATTGAGTTAATAAGAGACAACATTTGACTTTAAACTGGTGCAAACACTGTTGTTCCTATTCTTAACTACTTTGATATAAAACAAAAATAAGTGAAGGGAAAGTAAGAAACACTGAAGACTTATTCAATATATAAGCCTCAATAAATATTAATTGCAAAATTAATATTTAAATGATCATTAAAAGCTTTAGAAGTGACATATCAACAAACTGAAAACTAAGAAGAATTAAACCATCAAATTTACTTTAAAATGTAAATTTGAAAAGCATAGGTTTGTGGAAAATCAGAATAGCCCAGATTTTAGTATTATTCATTAAAAGAAAAAATCCTTCAGCAACATCTGTAAACAATGAAAAAAGATCCTAAATCTTCACCCAAGATTCATATTAAGCGTTGAGAAGTCCTTGCAGTTTCTTTCGGCGGTGAGTCACATACCAGTAACTCAGTGATTGGTTATTCTCATACTCCCAAAGGATTCTTTAAGAAATGAATGCAGTTTAGCTCATAGGACACACAGCAGCCCAAATGAAATTTACTTACTTGGTCTTTCTCATGGTCACTGCCACTGCTGAAAGAAAAAAGTGGCAAGGCTAAAAATGAAAAAAAAAAAAAAACAAGTATACAATGGATCTGGTTACTTACAAGACATACAGAAATTCACTTCTCCCAATATGCCAATGCTAGAAAAAATTCCCACTTCCTAAAGCTTGCTCAAATGTCCACTCTTAAAATTGCTTTCTAATTATTCAATCTTGATCCTAACCACCCAGAATTATCTGTTCCAGATCTCGTCCCTGCATATCACCCTCACATCTTTGTTTTGTCCTAAAGTTTTACCTAAAAGTACTTTTCTCAGCCGGGCACAATGGCTCAAGCCTATAATCCCAGCACTTTGGGAGGCCAAGGTGAGGAGATTGCCTGAGCCCATGGTTTCGAGAACAGCCTGGACAACTTGATGAGACCTCATCTCTACAATAAGTCAAAAAAATATTAGCCAGGCATGGTAGCGCATGCCTGTAGTTCTGGTTGCTTGGAAGGCTGAGGCAGCAGGACCACCTGAGCCGGCAGGTTGAAGCTGGAGTGACCGTGAGCATGCCACTGCACTACAGCTTGGGCGATGGAATGAGATTCCAACTCAAAAAAAAAAAAATACATCTCTTTAAATCCTATTCCTTTTTCCAAGAGTTAGCTTCAATCCCACCCACCTCTATCATGAAGATTTCCTGATGATTCCAGCTCATGCCAGATTCTTCTCATCTGAACGCCATTTATTCATAGCTCATATTTAATAATTGTTTAAACCCATATTCTTCTGTTTTATGTACATATATTTTGCCTTTCCAATGTATTCCATCAGAAAAAGAGGGTCCCATGATCACATTTTGTAAGGGTACTCTCTCCCATCACATACAGAAAAATAAATACCTGCTGATTTGAAAAGTGACTCAAAAGAAGACATAGGCCAAACTCACTTCTCATCCTACTTCTAGTTCTTGTCTTTTTTCTATTAGAATATGATTTCAGGGATTTCCTTTTTTGGTTACTGGTCCAAGACAATCCACTGGTACTAGAACTTGAATCTTGATTGCTCTCAGAGAAGAGATGTGTCCTGTAACTGAACTTTTACAAACACAGATGATAAATGAGAACTTTTAAGGGGGTGTTTAATGTCTTTTGTGTTCAGTTAAACATGTTACTACAATGTTAGACAAAAAGGTAGTAATTGCTAGAAGACAGCGTTCTCTTACATAATAAAAAGGCAAAAAGTAAGGAAAGAGAGAGAAGAAAAGAAGGATTATTCCATTTGTCAACTCTAAACCAAGCTATTCTTGTAAAGGAAGACAAAATTCTCTCTAATCAAATGTTTGTACCTGAAGAGATGCTAGATAGCTGTTCAGAAACTGATGTACCTGGACATTATACAACTTCAGAATACTAACTCAAATGACAAAAGAAAGTTTAAAAATATTTTCTGCAAATTCATGCTTCTCTACACTTAAGAACTAAAACCAAACAAGAGAGTGTGGGTTATTTGTGTTTAAATCTTTAAACATTTTGAAATTAGCCTGGATTATAAAATGCTAGAAATTTAGGACAAGCTTAATCTTTCTGATGGATTAGTCAGCTGTACTTTGACACTTATGTACTTTAAATCTTTTTCTGTTTTTGCGTTGTTATAAATGCTGTGGTGAACAAATGTTTATGCTTGGTTTCGATATGAAGCTTGTCTTGATTCAACAAATAATCACACTCTAGTTGAGTTCTGTTGGGCAACTCCAAGGGGCCCAGTTCCCAAACCACCAGCCTCACCAGGTGCTCCCCCATTCAGCTGCTGACAACCCATGCACATTTCAGGCTAGGGAAAATTCTTAAATGCATCACATTTAAATGGTGACAGTACCTCACATAATGTTCTCAGACAAGGCAACATATCAGCCAGAGGACAGAGCCTCTGCCTGGTATGGCAAAATGCAGAATCAGCCGCCAAGTCCCTCACTAGGTTAGGGCTGAACCGATGTTTCCCTTGTTTATGACTGTATGACCCATAACATCTAAGGTGGGTGATGGTTAGCTATCTTGTTTTCAAATGAATTCATTTTTTGAAGATGCAATTATTCCTCTTTTAAGATGTTTAGCAGTTCAACACTTTGTAGAAAAGGTAATTTCATTTTTTAATTGATAGGTAAAAACTATATATTTATGGTATCCAACCTGTATTTGAAATATATATGCTTGCAGAAAAAATAAATCAAGTAGTTAAATATATATGCTTGCAGAAAAAATAAATCAAGTAGTTAACATATGCATTGCCTCCTAAACTGTTTCTCCGGTAAGAACAGTTAAATACTCTACAGCAATTTAAGTATACAATATATCGTTATTAACGATACTCACCATGATATACAACAGATCTTTTAAATATATTCTTTCTATCTGACATTTTGTGCACTTTGGCCATCTTCCCAAATCCCCACCATCACTCCAATAACCACCATTCTACCCTCTGCTTCTATGAGTTTGACTTTTTTAGACTCCACATATAAGTGAGATCATGCAGTATTTGTCATTCTGTGATGGGTTTCCACCTAATGCCCTCCAGGCTCACCCATGTTGTTGCAAATGACAGAATTCCCTTCATTCTAAAGGCTAAATAGTATTCTACTGTGTGTGTGTGTGTGTATTATATATATATTATATATAATATATATATTACATATATATATAGCACATTTTCTTTATCCAGTTATTGAATGTTAGACACTTGATTGCAGAAAGAAATTTCTAAAAGAAATTTTGTGAGCAAAGCCTATTTGCCTTTGCCTTTTGTTGAGGAAACCCCACATTTGTTCCAGAGTTCTCCAGTCCAGCGTCTTGCAAAGAGCAAGTGTCACTTCATCTAACGCATCCAATTAAAAAGCCACACAGCAATTTTTTCCTAGTTTCTTTATCCTAGCAACTATTTCTTAGTTTCAAAACAAAAGGTGTTGAAAGTTATTTGTAAAAGCAAAAGTATCTAGAGTGGTAGTTCCTAAATTGGCTGCATATTATAATCACCAGGAAGGGGCTTTAAAAAACAAACTCCCAATGCCTGGGCACCACCCTGGATCAATGAAGTCAGAATGTCTGGGGAAGGAACCCAGACTTCAGTAGTTCCTCCAGTTCCCCAGGTGATACTAATTCAAAGTTTGGGCAGTAGAGTGTGAGAACTATTGCTAGGAGAAAGCCAGAAAAAGCCTAAACTTATTTGACGCTCATGATTTCAATTTTAGAAAAACATTTCATTGTTCATGATAGTTTAAAAAAAAATACACTATGAACTTAAGCACTATGCTTCCCAAAGTGAAAGCCCACCAGTGGTGGCACACTAGAGGGGTCATCTGGCACAAAACCGTGTCACTGAACAACACTGACTCAGAGGAAAATATTTCAGTTCTTTAAAGAGGTCTGAGCCGGGCTCAGTGGCTCAGCCTGTAATCCCACGCCTTTGGGAGGCTGAGGTGAGTGGATTGCCTGAGCCCGCGGGTTCGAGACCCGCCTGGGCAGTGAGACCTCATCTCTACAATAAATCAAAAAATCAGCCAGGCGTGGTAGCGCATGCCTGTAATTCTGGCTACTTGGAAGGCTGAGGCAGAAGAATCGCCGGAGCCCAGCAGGTCGAGGCTGCGGTGGCCAGGAGCAGCCTACTGCACTCCAGCCTGGGCGACAGAGTGAGACTCTAACTCAAAAAATAAAAATAAAAATAAAAAATAAAAATACATTTAAGGCAATTAAGAAAAAATATAAATAAAGAATAGAGTTATGACACATTTTGGAGTGGCTATGTAAATAACTGAAATTGGGAAGTATTGCCTTAAAATAATAAAGATTATTACCGATACACTCATTCTTTGCTTTCTGTCACCGCTGAAAGCAGAATCTACCCTGAAACAAAACACATCAAGTTAATGGAACTGGTACAACCATCACCCTCCTTCTTCCCTTTTTCTTGTTATGTCCTTTGTCTGATCATGATCCCAGGGCATGGGAAGTATCCCATTCTGCAGACAAACTTACCATCTTATGAACTATCACCACAGATTCTCTGGCAGACAACAACAGTTTATTTAAAATACAACAAGTTTTTGTTGAGCCCCTTGCCTTAGGTATACAAAGAAAATGCAGAGTGAAATCAGCAAGTAACCAGACAGCAAGGGCAAAGAGTTTATACAGCATAGAATCACCTGTGTGGGCCTTAAACAAATGTTTTTCATGATGATTAGTGATGTTGAGTATCTTTCCATACACCTGTTGGCCATTTGTAGGTCTTCTCTGGAGAAATGTCTTTCGCCCATTTTTAAAATCAGACCTTTATTACTAGATTGTAGGAATTCCTTATATACTTCTGAATATTAATCTCTTATCAGATATATGGTGTGCTAGTGTCAAAAAAGCAAAGATGACACGTGTTGGCAAGGATGTGGAGTCTCTGGAACTCTTGTACACTGGGGGTGGGAACATAAAATAGTGCCAGGTGCTATAAAAAAAAAAAAACCCAACAATTCAGGCTGGGAATGGTGGCACATGCCTGTAATCCCAGCAATTTGGGAGGCCAAGGTGAGAGGATTGCTTGAGCCCAAGAGTTCAAGACTATCCTAGGCAACATGGTGAGAGCTCATCTCAATAACAGCCACCACACACACACACACACACACACACACACACACACACACACACACACACACAAAACAGTTAAGTGGTTCCTCAAAAAATTAAAAATAGAACTACTATATGATCTAGCAATCCCAGTTCTGGGTACATCCAAAGGAACTGAAATCAGTATGTTGAGAGGATGTCTGCAGTTCCATGTTTACTGCAATATTATTCCCAATAGCCAAGATAAAAAACAACTTAAATGCCCCTGAATGAATGAGTGGATAAAGACAGTGCAGCACATATACACAATGGAATACCATTCAATCTTAAGAAGGAAGAAAATTCGACCACACATGACAAGGATGAACTTGGAGGAAGGACATCATGTTAAGTGAGATCAGCTCATCATAAAAGGACAAATATGGGAGGGGGAGGCAGGTGGACTGCTTGAGGTCAAGAGTTCAAGACCTGTCTGGGGAACACAGCGAGACCCAATCTCAAAACACACATGGACAAATTCTGCATGATTACACGTATGTGAGGTATCTAAAATAGACTCAGAAACAGAGAGTAGGTTGGCAGTTGCCAGAGGCTGGGAAGAAGGGAAAATGGGGAGCTGCTATTCAATTGGTATAAAATTTCAGTTATACAAGATGAATACATTCTAGAGAGCTGCTGTACAACACACAAAATTGTGCCTATAGTTTCCAATACTGTATTGTGCACTTAATTTATTAAAAGTAAAGCTCATGTTGTGTTCTTACCACAATAAAAACAGAAACGCTAATGCATTATCATTTCTAGGCAGCGGCTGATCTTTGTCTCTATAGTTTTCTAGAATTCCACATTCTATTCATATTCTAGAGTTTTCTATAAATGTTTTCATACAATATGTATTTTTTATCTGACTTTCACTGGACATAATTTGGAGATTCATCTGTTCTTTCTTATTTCTGTATGGTATCCCATTGTATGGCTATACCAAAATTTGTTTATTCATTCAGCTATCAGTGGACATTTGGGATGTTTCCAGTTTAGAGCTATTATATAAAGAAAGCCACTATAAGCATCTGTACACATTCCTTTGTGTGGACGTATATTATTTTTCCTGAATTCATATAGCTGATACATGTATAACATCTTAAAAAACTACCAGCAGTGTATAAAAGTTCCAGATGTCCCACATTTTCAAAGCTTGGTACAGTTTTCTAATTTTAATCATTCTAATAGATGTGTAGTTCATCTCATTATAGTTATAATTTACATTTTCCTAATAACTAATAATGCTAAGCAACTTTTTGTGTGCTTATCTGCCATCTGGGTATCTTCCCGGGGGAAGTAGCTGTGGAAACCACTTTATACAAGAGTCACCTTGTGTTAACTTCCAACTGATCAATGACCTGCTACAATCTAATTTGAACATCAACCAATCAGAACTGCCTCATTTGCATGGCAGGAACCCTGATACATGGCAGGAACCCTTACCCTAACCAAAGAGAGGCCAGCTCCCAACAAAACAACCTCAAACTGCTGGCTCAGCTCAGACAACTCCTTTATTTCTGTCCTGCCACCATCTCCCGTATGGTGTGAGCAATAAAGCATCTCTTTCTACTTAAATCTGGCTTCAGTAAATTCTTTCACTGCCCATGACTCTGGCCATCTGGTTACTTCCCACAACTAAGATGTCTAAATCTTTTCCTATTTTTTTTAGTTGTATTTATATTATTGAATCTTGAGAGTTCTTAATATCTTTTGGATAAAAGTATTTTATCAGACATATGACTTGCAAATATTTTCTACAAAGGTGTGACTCATTCTTTCATCTCCTAATAGTGATTTTCAAAGAACACACATTCTTATTTTGAGGAAGTCAATTTAACAATTGTTCTTTTATGAACTGTGCTTATGGTGCCCAATCTAAAAAATATTTGCCTAATCCAAGGTCACAAAGATTTTTTTAATGTTTTCTTTCAAGTAGGTTTTACATGTATGTCTATGATCCACTTTTAGTTGATCTTCTATACGGTTGGAAAGTAAGGATCAAAGGTCATTTATTTTCTTATATATGGATATTCAACTGTCCTAGCACTGTTTGTTGAAAAGCCTGTTCTTTCTCCACTGAATTGTTCTTGCATTTTTGTCATGACCAGTTGTCTATATATATGTAAGTCTATTTCTGGACTTCCTAGTCTGTTTTATTTATTTATCTGTCTTTATATCACACTCTCTTGATTAAGGTAGCTTCATAGTATATCTTAAAAGCAGGGAGTGTGTAAATCCTATCACTTTGTTTCTTTCTGAAATATGTTTTGGCTTGTGCAGGTCTTTTAAATTTCCACATAAAATTTAGAAATAGCTCGCCAATTTCTTTTAAAAAAAAAAAAAGCCTGCTGAGATTTGAATTGGGAATTGTATTAAATTCACTGATCCATTTGGAAAGAATTGTCACTTTAATATTTAATTTTCTATGCTAAGAGTACAGTAATAGGACCCCAAAGGCCTGGAATTTATTTAGAAAATATTTTGTATTTTTTTTACATGTTTAAACTTCAGTCATCTTTGAAGTACTCTCCGTTTGATGCAATCCACCTATTGAGATGTTTCCCACTACTCAAAACAGTTTTTGAACTCATCGATTTTGACAGCTTTTAGTGCTTCTACCGTTTATTTTGTTTCACCCCTTACATTGGCAAAACAAAGTTTTTCATCCAGGAAACAAATAAAAGTCACCTGGGGCAAGATCAGGAGAATAGGGAGGGTAGGGCATGGGAGTCATGCCATTTTGGGGTCAAAAACTGCTGAACACTCAACATGGTGTAGGCAGGTGTGCTCGTAAATCACTCATCATTAAATGGGCAAATGCATCGACTCTCCAGGAAAAATTCTTTTTTGCTAAAGCCGAATGCAGCCTCTCACAACACCACTAGCTGGTACACTGATACCAATGGGTTCCTAGAACACTTACCTAGTAATGAAAGCCTGTCCTAGAAGGGGCCCACCCTCCAAAAGACAATCCCACTTTTTATCAGGAGGTCCTCTCTCATGTCTGTTTCCTTATACCTAGGTCTTCTTTAATTTCTCCCAACAATGTTCTGTGGTTTTCAGAGGGGAAGAGTGAGGGAGGAGGACTTACAAATCTTTTGTCAAATTAATCCCTTAGTATGTCATATCTTTAATACTGTTATAAATGGTATTGCTTTTACTTCAACTTCTGATTGTTAGTATATAGAAAGAAAATTGCGTTTTCCAATTTCAAAGTCAGTATTTTACTGCAGAAAAAATACGTTGTCAGAGATAACTCTGAAGGTATAATGGTAGAGGTCTGTGGTCAGGAGAACTTGCCAGCACTGCTAAAATTGTTCTACAGAAAACTTCACACAATACTCTCTCCTTAGTGGGGGGGGGGGTGTGGGAAGGGTGAGTAGGATGACCAGATGCAGGAAAGGGGGAAATCTAGATGGCTGACTTGTAGCACTGACATTAATAACAATCTACATATTTATTAGTTTTGAAAATCACTTACCTAGATTTGTCATTTAATTTAGGAGACAGAATTTTAACTGGTGGTTCATGTACATCTGAAGAATACTCATGTTTCGAAGTAACTTCTAATGATAAAAATTAAGCAAAAGATGTTAAGCTTGTCAAGTAAACATTTAAATATACCACTCAAGTCGCGTCTATGATATGAGGACTAAACTGACTGAAAGGACAGACCGAGAGTGGGAAGCCATTTTTCATCTTGTTCTTAAACCCTGACACAATGATGAGAAAGTAGAAGCTATGCTTTTGGAGAAATGCACACTTTACGTATAATTAACCTTACGGACTTTGTCTTTTCAGAAACAGACTTCCAGGTATCAGAGGTATCTCATAGTGGCAATCAAGCATGCCTAGAGTAAAGTAAATTTACAAGGCTTAAGACATCATGCATGGGACAAGGACTGTAAAAGTCATGAAACTTGTAATTACAAAAGTTATAAGCACTCAGAGGGAAATCAGGTGGGGATTCGATCTTCCAGAAGATTGGGCGCTTCCTACAGGGAAGCCAAGGATCCCCCGAAGCTACCCACTGGGAATGCGTAGGAGATAAGGGGAGGTACACCTTCCATTAGGTCTAAGGAATGTCTTTTGGGAAGATGCAGGAGAATTAGAATCCTTGTCATGCCTTTCTCTAGGGGCTGTGATCACGTGGATGGACATTAATGGGTCTCTGTGCCACAGGTTCTCCAAGACATCCACAGGTGGTTGATAAGGAAGTCACAGCAGTCACATGCAACATCTCCAACCAAGAGAAGGATTTAAGTCAGGACTGGGGGCGGGGGGAGTTCGACGCCACACTCACCTAGAGTGTAGGCCCACTCCCTGTCTGTGGGGGGTGAACTTTTCTTAAATAAATCTTTTCTTCTCTCACCTCTGTGTATCGCAGTTCTTTGCAATTTACTGAGATCTCTGGGTTCCCGAGCACACACCTCTGGCCTGCCAGCTCGGGCAGTGCTGAGCATCACCCTGTGCCTCTCCACCCTCACCCTGTCCCTGCCGTACCCTAACACTGACTGTTTCTTCTCTTGTGTAAATTCCTACCAAAGGGGCCTAGGGAGTCACACCCTACAAGGATAAAAATCTCCTTAGACAGGTTTTTATTAACCCAATATGGCATGACTTACTTTCCAACCTGACCCTGGCATAGCATCACATGATAGATAATAGACCCAGAAGGAAATAAAAATATTTTACCCAAAATATTTGACAAGTCTGCCACGGGGCCCACATGTTGAAATGGTCCAGCAAAGCTATCTTTTGTGGGTAAAATTCGCAACTGGAGAGAATCCTCACTGATACAACCAGCCCTTTTCCTTCTAGGCCTTTTCTGCATCTAGGAGAGACTAACTCAGAACGTGACACCTTTAAAGTCTGAAGAGAGCGCTCCCTGAGGGCTGCCGCCTCTGAGGCTTCATTTATATAACAAGAACCTGGATCTTCGCGCAACACCCATATCTTAACTCTGACATTTCTTTTTACTGATTTCAAGTCTTTAGACAGTAGCTTAACTCTCTCAACCAATAGTCAACTAAAGAATCCCTAAAACCCCCTATGACTTGTAAGTCCCTTCTTCAAGATTGCCTTTTGGAGTCAAATCAACGTATACCTTCCACATATTATTATTTTACTCACAATTCTTCTCTCCCTGAATTGTATTAATGTCCCTCCTTCCTCAATCAAACCAATGAAAAGACCACAGGTATCGATTTATGGTTTCTTGTAACTTTTGCCTTCTTGAAATGTATACAACAAGTATAACTGTATATAGTAAGTCATCACTCTTCATGGGAAGCCCACCTCTGGTATCTCACTATCCTTTGGTGAGAGTTGGTAATTAGATCCTGCCTCAAGTCTCAAATTGGACATCTATGGTCACTGGGGAAAAGTGTCTTGAGGCATAACTCAAAAGAAATACATATTCTAGTGCAGGACCAGCTTTGTGGGTAAAAAAGATGCTCTTTTTTTTTTCTAGTGTGAATCTTTTATTTTGACAAAATGAATTTTACAGATTTTTCCATTCTCAAGCTCCCAAACTTTTACTTATTTTAAAAAACAAGAGACAAAGCTGCCTAGACGCCAAGATGTCAGTCATAAGTAAAACTGAACCCAATCTTTAAGTTGCATAAGCTAGTTGCATTTTACACACCATGAAAGTGAAGAGAAGTGTGGAGCTCACTGGTTTCAAGTGCGCCTTGTAAGAAACACATGCACAAATGGGTTTTTTAACCACAGTGTCATATCGATAAATATCTAAGTATCGACACACATTTTTCCATTAATGGCAGGCACAACTCTACAAATATCAAATTACATAAATCATATTTTTAATAAACTTGATTGGGAATGTGTAGTTAAGAGGCTGAAAATGCTACACTTATGCACATGAGCACATCAGGGCAAGGAATGGTACAAGCAGTTCCCTTCAGGAATGATTTTTGGAAATTTAAAATATTATCTTCTGGGAAAAGCAAGGTAAAAGATGTCCTGACTCAGTCTCTAAAGACGTATCAAATTACAGATTTTGTGCAGCTGGTTACCAATACACATGTTTAAGAGATTAATACTGATGTGTCTACTTTTTAGTTACTTCAGCTTTACATGTCTGTGAAATTGAAAATTCCTCAATGTGGAGTTATAGCTTATTCTGCACTAGGTACAGGTAGCATGTACACATTCAGAAAGGTTGCTTTTCCTCCCAGTTCCTGCCACCTCCATCATTTGTTTCCCTTTGTCACTTTTAGTTGACCTATAAGAGAGACTTTATCAGGTATGGAAAGATTATATATAGCCGCTCTTCTCTTTCCAAAGGTACAATCAGATACTTACTCTTTTGATGAAAAGATGCCAAACTCTGCAAAATAAGATGGTTTATTCAGAACCAAACTTGAGGACTTAAGCCCAGAAACATCCATCCTCAGGAGGTCCTGAGGTTGTGTGCCCATGATGATTGAATGGTGGTTTGATAATATAGTAAGTCTCCTACATACAAACCTTCAAGTTGCAAACTTTCAATATCCAGTCACACTAGTTCATGTGTCTGGTGTACATTGTCACATGTGTGCATCCTCTACAAGTGGTTGTGCTTTTGTGTATGTTACTGTACAGTGTTGTATAGAGTACAGTAGTACAATATCTATATTTCAAACCCACAACGTCTGGAAGCAAGCATAAAAACAGTGTAGCTGGTATTATATAGTTGATTGTGTTAGTTGGGTACCTAGGATAACTTTGCTAGACTTACAAACAAACTGAACGTCCAAACATGATCTCAGAATGAAACTCATTCATATGTAGGGGACTTACTGTATTCATTTCAGGAAGGCAAAAGTTATAAGAAACCATAAATCAATACATGTAGTATTTTCATTGGTTTGGTCTAGGAAGGAGGGACACTTTCAAGAGGGGATTTGCAGATCATAGGTGGATTCAAAGATTTTCTTGATTGTTAATTGGTAGTTCCCATCTAAGAAATTTGGGAAAGCAGTAAAAGAAATTGCAGAAAAATATGAGCATCAACAATTGGCATCAACAATTGGATAATTATACTAAGGAAAGGGGCTTCAGGGTGAAATTTACAAGGAACTTACAACCACAGTAACAGTCATAAAAGCTTACTGACTTATAAATCATTATTGCAAACTAACTTTTAGCTGATTGCCGTAAACGTTATGAAAAACAGTTAACCATTGTTGTAAATTAACCCTACCTTAAGGAACTGATCACCACAATCAATCAACCATTTTACAGACCCCTCAAACAACACATAGGCAACTTACCTCTCCAGACCTCACATAACAGTCTTCCACAGCCAACCCTATAAAATTTCCTTCCAGCCCTACCTCTTCACAGACAGCCTCCCTTCTGCTGTACTTCCCGTTGCTCCCTTGCAACATACATTTAATTCACAATTGTTCTGGTAAATTCATTTGCCCCTGACACTTCAACTAGTCATACAATAGACAGATGTTTTGTTGAGGAGGTAGAAAACTCCAGGTTTGTTGATATGTAGATGAAGTCCTATGTGTGGCTGACTTAGAGAAGATAGATAAATGTCTTACAAGGCTTCTAGAGTCTGGGAGTCCCATAAAATACTTTGATTTCCTTCTTTATTTGTTGGTGTTATGCCAGAGTCAGGCTGGAAAACAAACTTTAGGATACAGGGTAATAAAACTTGGTCTGGTGAGTCCTTATCAGGCAGTGACTCCCCAAGCCTCTTAGTTAGAGATTTGGATAAGAGAAAAAAAGGTCAGGATTAGTCATCACTCTTTTATGACCACAGATCTTTAGTCACCTCTTCCAACTAAGGTCTCATCATTGCTTTTATAGGAAATTCAGAGTTGGAATTTTGTTATTTCCCAATATAACTGAGACAGAACAGAGAAGTGACTCAAGCCCCCAGACCATTAACATATCTCTCCATACATACCCACGAACCACAAGACCTTGCAAGTTATCTAAAGAAACCAAGATAAGCAACATTGTGCCACAAATTTTACTCAGAAAGAATTAACCTCTCTACCTGTATGCACACAAGTCCAAAAAAACGACCAATCCTAACCCCTTGCCTCATTATAATACTAAAATCCCCACCCTCGGTAAGGCTTAAAAGCCACTTTTTTATACATGTGACATATGAAGAAGGGTGTATCTACACTATGATTGGCATCTAGAACCCCTCCTTAATTCTGCTAGCATGCCTCTCTGTGATGTTAAACCCTTCCCTTATCTAATAAAAGACCCGGATAGCCCCCTTTGGGAGTCAACTGGAGAACTCTTCCTCTTGAGCTGTCTTCCTCATGCTTGAGCATAAACCCCAGTAAAGCCTTATTGGGGAATCTGCTTGACCTCATGTCAATATGTATTGCATGGGAGCCTAAGAACCTGTGGTCTGGTAAACATACCTGGCACTCTTTCATGGCTACTAGGAATCTCAGTGTCTTCTTTCTCAGACTTACTAAAAAATTCTGAGGACATTTTCAGCAGGTCAGGTAACATCTGAAATGCAAGCCAAAAGTCGTGTAACTTTTAAGAAATAATTTTCAAAAATTTTTTTTCTTGAAGGAAGACATAAAGCTCAGAACACAGCACACTGATAAATTAGAAGTTAGTCTAATTTATCATTTTGTCCTCTCTTGAAGGATTATGCTGTTGGTTTTGGCTTCTCTACACTCCTCCTGTCTCCAGGACCAGCTCTGGCTGGTTAGTTTCCTGCTGTCAGTCATTCTTTCCTGGCGTCTTCCAAGCTTCTACTTTCTCCTAGCCCAATCCAACTCCCTTAGTAATTTCTAATCCCTGCCTCACTCCTTTCTCGGGATGAGTCTTCAGTGAGAGCCCAACTATAGGGTTCTGCAGTCCAACCCCTTCTGCTGGATTCTGCAATCTAATGCCCTCATATTCTAGGAACTATAGCTTCACCACATGCAAACCCAAATTAACCCACACAAAACATCTTATTCATTTTGTAAAGTGTGGAATGATATATGAGTTTAATGTTCTTGTGAGTAAAGGCAAACCAATCATGTCACGATAATTCATACGCAATATGATGGAGGCTTTTTTTTTAGTGATTGATTCTCCTTTGTTTCTCATCTTCACCTTCACCATCCTCACATCATTAAAATATGATGAGTTTTTGGAAATTACATTTGTAGGGCACTTTACTACATACACTTTTACTTCACATATATATAACTCAAACCAAAAGGAAGCTGTTCCAAGACTTCCTCCCTCAGAAAAAAGAGGGCCTTTGACTTCTTAATTCAACTTCCCACTGGCCATTACCACAGTATTTTTTGTCTTCTTGTCACAAATTTCATTGCCCTGTCTACCATCTGTGATAGAGAAAGGTTTCTTGCTTTTGTAAATAAATAACAAACATTAGTCAGAGGCCACAGCAATCCATAGAGTGGCAGACAATTTTCACAAGACCAGTAGATACAACTATGGAAAAACTTCCTAAGAAACCTTATTTCCTAGATTCAAAGGAGTTGAGAGAGAAGAAAGCACCAAGACGCCCACAGTGGGTATCCTCAGGACTCCAGGAAGAATGTGACAAGGTGGTCATCCTAGAAAACCTTTCAACGCTTCACAATAAATAAAAAATTTGTGTCCTACATTGTCAAGACAATGACACAAAAGGGAAGAACTAGAATTAGAATCCAGAATTCTCAACTCTTTTTACATAGCATTCAAAAGACCAGGATTTCTGGTTGATAAAATATTCATATCGTAACACAACAAGAAAATTTAAAAGTCATGAAACATACCAAAATATTCTCAAATAATCAAGAAGGATGAAACCTGCTACCTCTTTGTCTTCTCCTAAAGTTTGAATGGAAGCTTCTGATATGTTGAACTGCAAATCAAAATGGATTTCTATGGTCATCACTTCCTTGTTGCTGATAATAATAGGCTTCTTCAGGTAAACAATAAATATCTTGATCTTCTCTGTTTCTAACAAAAAATACAGTATATTAATGTGTATCAACATACTGAAAAGTTTTATTTTAAGACTTTATAGTTTTAAATAACTGCACTGGGATATTTGTCCACTATCCTGATTTTCTATAATAAGTTGAAATCATATCAAATAAAATTACTTTGAAATTATTTTAATTAGGTGTGCATACATGTATTATTTACACACACATTAAATGATTAAGCGACTGATCTTGCAAAGGTAGAAAGTAGCTTACCTTAGCAAAGAAATGGAGATAGTTTTATCTTCTGCAATTCTGTTTTTTAAATTGCATTTGTTTACACAAAGCTATCATTTGCAACAAGTATTTTATTTTCAAGTACACTAAGCACAATATTCACTCTCTCTTTCTCTTTGGAATCTTTATTCTAAAATATAAAATAAAATTCACTGTTCCCTGCCTCTACACTGTTGGTGGGAATGCAAACCTGTTCAACCTCTATGGAAAACAGTGTGGTGATTTCTGAAAGAACTAGAAATTGACCTTCCATATGACCCAGCAATCCCCCTACTGGAAATATACCTGGAGGAACTCAAATCATTCTACAAAAAAGATGCCTGCACATGTATGTTTACTGCAGCATTATTCACAATAGCAAAAACATGAAACCAACCTTGCTGTGCACTGAAGCTGGACTGGATTTTTTAAAATGTGGTACATATACACAATGGAATATTACACAGTCATAAAGAAGGACCAACATATGGACTTGGCAGCAAATTGGATGGATTTAGAGTAATACTCAGGAATCTATCACAGAAACAAAGAATGGAGCACCATGCATTCTCACTTATAAACAGACCCTGAACATTTACCATAACACTATAAGAAAGGGATTGGCAGTAGTGGGATACTGCCAGGGTGGGGGTGAGGAACACAACATCAATAAGGGTACCTGATCTCAAACCAGACAAAGTGGAGACCAAAGGGAGGCCCAAACTTTACCTATACCATGTCCACTTGTATACCTAATTCTGAATTGTACCCCACATCTTTAGAATATATTTTTTTAAAATAAAATTCACTGTTCCCAATATGCAAAATAGAATAATCTCTTGCCATTTCAATGGACTCCACTTGAAGAGGAGAAATGGAAGCACTCTAGAGAGAAGTCCGTGTGTCAGGCAATATCTTCCTCGAGGTCCCCCAGCCCTTTCCCAACAAATAGCAGTTGGTTTAGAAAATAGCTTAGATCAAACTCATAAAGAGTCCAAGAATAAGCCACAGTAAGTACAAGGTAAAAGCTGAAAGCAGCAGAAAAGAAAGGCAGCAAAGTCCATGAAAGAACAGGTAAAACTAATGACCACAAACTGACGAGAACAACAACAACAAAAAAGTGAATCATACACAGGTCTGAATCTGTACTGGGCAATATTGTAGAGTACTTGAGACATGGCTAGTACCAGTAGCCATGTGTAAAATATGTATCAGATTGTGAAGACTCAGTGCAAAAAAGGAGAATGTAAAGTATCTAATTTTTATACTGCTTACATGTTAATATTTGGATATATTGGGTTGGGTTAAATAAAATATATTATTAAATTAATCTACTTTTACAATATAATGTGACTACTAGGAAATTTAAATACATGGCTCACATTTTATTTCTATAAGATAGCATTGGTCTAGAGTAAAGTTCAGGGATCACCCTCAAATGCTGATCTTATTGGATATTTACTCATGAATGCAAGGAAAGCCTGTAAAACCCTGTAACAAAAGTAATGCTAAAAAATATCTGAAAAAGGTACTAGCTAGGTGGGCTGTGAGGATCAATGCAAACTTATAAGCTTCAGAAGAAATATCCTGAGGGCTATACATCAATCTTCTGTTGATGAAAGATGCCAAACTTTGTAAAATATCTAAGGTTTATTCTGAGCCAAATGTGAGTGACCCAGGCCCATGGCACTGTCCCAAGGGGTCCTGAGAACATATGCACAGGTGGCTAAATCACATCTTAGGAAGACAGACGTTATAAAAAACCATAAATCAATACATGTGAGATTAACATTGGTTTGGCCCAGGAAGGCAGGACATCTCTAAGCAGGGCTTACAGGTCATGGGAAGATTCCAAGATTTAGTCTGTCTAAGGAATTTGAAATCAGTAAAGGAAACATTAGGTTGGGATAAGGGGTGATTTGAGGAAGTTAAGTTTCTTGATATGTAGATGAAGCCTCATAGGTGACAGCCCTGAGAGAAAATAGATGGCAAATGTCTAGTTCCTTTGGAGATCCATGGGAAGGGAATCCTATACAGATGCAAATTTACCCAAGTATGACTTTGCATGGGTCTATATATGTGTGTGTGTGTGTATTTTCTTTTTTTAGAAAGCAGGATTTATTAAGAGGACAGAAAAGCACCCACAGTGGGAGGGCACCCAAAGGAGTTGCCCATAAAATATTTTTGATTTATTTGTCTGATATGGGATGTTATGCCAGAGTCAGGTTGGAAATAGACCACATTATATAGGGTTAATAAAAAAAGTGTTTGATGAGACTTTGTAGAGCCTAACACCCCAGGTCCCTTAGTTAGGAACTTGGCAAGAGAGACAAAAAAAGGTCAGAGGTCAGTACTCACTTCCAACAATTACATTGCCAACTCCTTAGCCAGAGGGCTATGATACAAAAGTCTTACTTGTAGAGTTTACCAGACAATCTTTACTATTCTTGGCAATAAACATGGAAGTAATAACACCTACTTCCATGCTGAACTGGATATCCACTTACTAGAAGTAGGTGCCGCTTATCCTCTGAGGTATTTTGTGAATCATAAAGTCTCATAGAAATGTGATATACTCGTGAAGTAATAAAATATTAACTTTGGCAAATTGGTTCCTGAAAACCACTATAGTAGCAAAGTTTAGAGTTGAGAAAATTGAAATAGGAAAAGTTATAAGCACTAGTAACAGTGTCCATGGAAGTACTTATAAAATAACTGAAAAGTTTTTTTTTTTGCAAAGCAAAAGAAACCAATAAGAGAGCAAGAAGACAGCCTACAGAACAGGAAAAAATATTTGCCAACTACGTATCTGACAAAGGCCTAACATCTAGAATCTACAAAGAACTAAAACATGCCGAAAAGGAAAAAAACAAACAGCATCATTAAAGAGTAGGCAAAAGACATGAATAGCACTTCTCCAAAAGAAGATATATGGCCAACCAACAGACACATGAAACAGTGCTCAGCCTCACTAATCATCAGAGAAATGCAAATCAAAACCACATTGAGATACCACCAAATCCCAGTAAGAATGGTTCTCATTAATAAAACAAACAACAGATGCTGGTGAGGATGCGGAGAAAAGGGACACTTTTACACTGCTGGTAGGAATGCAAACTAGCTCAGCTTCTACGGAAAACAGTGTGGCAGTTTCTACAAGAACTAGAAACTGACCTTCCATGTGACCCAGTAACCCCCTTCTGGGAATATACCCGGAATACCTCAAATCATTCTACAAAAAAGATGCCTGTACATGCATGTTTATTGCAGTACTGTTCACAACAGCAAAAACGTGAAACCAACCATTCTGCCCAGTGAAACTGGACTGGACTAAAAAAAAAAAAAATGTGGTGCATATACACAATGGAATATTATGCAGCCATAATGAAGGACAAACGTGGACTTCACAACAACTTAGATGAATTTTTAGAGTCAATAATACTCACTGATCTATCAGAGAAACAGAGAACAGAGTACCACATGTTATTACTCATAAGTGGACCCTGAATATTTACCATTAATACTATAAGAAAGGGATTGGCAGTAGTAGGATACAGCCAGGAAGAGAGTGGGGAGACACATCAATAAGGGTACCTGATCTCAAACCAGGCAAAATTGGGACAAAAGGGAGGCCCAAACTTTACCTGTACAATGTCTACTTTTATACCTAACGCCTGAATTGTACCCTACATCCTTAAAATATAAAAAAAAATTAATATTTACATTTATATAGATAAATATCAGTTACATCTTATATATCCTAAATTATGTAATAGTAACAGGTAATCACTACATAAATTAAGTTGCTCTTCACTTATAGTCATTATTATATTTAATATATACTTCTAGTGAGATGTTTTAAGTCCTTTCCTTTATTCCAGATAGGAGACACCTCCAACTCAACGTAGACTGTCTTTCCACTTCTGTGACTGCCCAATTACTAGCTCCCAACTCCCATCTATCTGAGTTCTCTCAACGCCCAATCATCTCACACATTAAATTTTCTTCATCTTTCCTTCATTCTCCCAGAGCTTCATGATAAATCTGTCCTCCTCTACCACTTGCTTTTCTTCCTAATTTACTCCCTATCTTAGATTCCCTTCTTTTTCTAATAATCCCCACAAGAAAAACTCAAAATTCTTGGCCACTGAAACAAATTCTCACAGACACTTAAAAGAAACTACATGGGAAAATTATGAAAGATTTTATAATTGTCCAAAGGTGTCTGTCTACCATATCCTTCTGGGTTATTTGTAGTTTTCATTGTCTTTGAGCTATTTCACAACTCTGTAAATTGTGGAAAACTAATAGTTAACACAAATAATTCTTGGCTATAGAAATGCAAATTATTGTGTCTGTGGTACACACTTGTCTAGTTTTGCATCTAGTTTTGTAAATTAATTTCAGCATTGTTTGTGCACAAGTGGTTCTTTGAATTCTTTCCTTATTTAAAAAAATTTTTTTTATTTTAAATATGTGGGGTACAATTCAGGGTTAGGTATACAAATGTCCACTATGCAGCTACCCTTGTTGATGAGGTATGCCTCCCCCCCGGCAGTTTCCACTACTGCCAATCCCACCCCTGTCCTCTTTTCTTCCTTTTTAAAGGTGAATAATATTCCACTGCATGTGTATGCCACATCTTCCTTATCCATTCATCCCTCAGTAGACATTTGGGCTATTTTGACTTGCTGGCCTTGCGAATAATGCTGCTATGAATCTAGGTGCACAAATATCTCTTTGAGATCCTCCTTTCAATTCTTTGAGGTCTATACCCAGAAGTACAATTGCTGACTCCTATAGTAGTTCTAGTTTTGATTTTTGGAGGAACTATAATCATGTTTACAATTAGAAAACTAAGTTAGTAATTAAACCCTAAAGACAAAAGGCAAAGGAGTTATCAGCGTATATCAGTGCACCTTCCACTAGTATTACAGCCTTCCCCCTACCTCAAGGCATGATCAAAATATTCCCTAGTGTTAACTAAATATATACTGCAAACAATGCTCAGAACTATATGTGGAGTGTTTTTTTTTTTTTTAAAGAAGGATTTATTGAAAGAACAGAAAAGCTCCCAAAGTGGGAGGGGACCCGAAGGGGTTGCCCTGTGGGATGGTTTAAAATCATCTTACAATAAATCAAAAAATCAGCCGGGCATGGTAGTGCATGCCTGTAATTCCAGTTACTTGGAAGGCTGAGGGGGAAGGATCGTCAGAGCCCAGCAATTCGAGGTTGCGGTCGCTGGGAGCAGCCACTGCACTCCTGTCTGGGCGACAGAGTGAGACTCCAACTCAAAAAAAAAAAAAAAAATCATCTTACCTGTTATGCTGAACTTCATCACTGCTTCCTTCACAAGTCTCACTGAGTCCCACAGAGCACTCTTGGGAAAATAAATACATGAAAACGATGAGCTCAGGATACATATTTACATATGAAAGATCTCTAAGTACTTCTTAGGTCTAATCAGGAATCAAACAGTACCTCTTCATTGTCTATATAAAAAGTTACACTCTGACTTCCTACATTGAAGTCAATCCAAAATTTCTCTAGTTTTTCATCTGCTGGTTTTCTCATCTGTAAGAGATAATTTGGCATGAATTATATGCATAAAGTCATATAAAAAGGTCAGATAAAAATTATTTCATTAAGAACAGAACTTGTGCTTTCCCTGAAACAGCACTATCCTAACACTATAGGACCCCTCTTAATTATTGCCTAACTTGTTTGTGCAAAACAAGAAAAGGATTTCAGTTTTATATAATGAAGTCATTTTCCCTCTCCCCCTTCAAATCCCACTATCCTTAGCATGTTTAAAAAGAATTCAAATGTGCCAGATGACAGATGACTAGCTGCATAATTATTTTCTAGTGAGAATCATGGAGAAAACAGTTCTATGTCAAGAAAAAAAGCAGTAACAATCTGCACTCCACACTCCATCTGGATGAAAACTTCTAGAGAAGGAGATACTGTGACCAAACTTAAGTGATTTACCATCTAATTTACCAACCATCAGAGTAGAGGTAAGACTTGAGGATTTCAAGCTATCTTCATTTTGATTGATTATTGTAAGAAAAGCACATGTTTATAACAACTGTAAACATCTCCTCCTCTGCCCTCAACTTCTCATAGGCACCTTCCCAAAAGCACCATTAACAATGCCTTTGTTTTCTCCCAGACATTTTCTAGACATAAATTAAGAGGTATATGTGAAGAGGTACATATTAATCCCCAACAATGGAGTAAACACTAGACTTACTAGTCTACAATTTGATTTTTTGGTAAGTGGTATTTCTTAGACATCTTTCCTTTTCCTTTCACATGCCTGCTCTTTAATAGTTATAAAGTTGAATGAAGGCTTCAACTCACAATGCATGTTACTGAAAGCCAGTATAAGGGTTAGTGTAAGGGCCCTTATTGGAGCAAATGGAAATTTGTGAGTCCTAGAAAGAAGAACCAAGCAGAGAACAGAATTCTTAGACAACCAGAGGAAAATTAGAATTTAAACACAGGTATTAGTCTACCAAAGTCAGTTCTAGAGAGAAGAAACTTTCAGTATAGTAATGACTCAGCTTACAGAGGCTAAGAAGGACACTCAGAATCCAAAACAAAGAAATGGTGAATGAAGACATTTCTAAAGACAAGGTCCAGAAAACCTAGCCAAGCCAAGGTTTTAAGAGCTCTAACGAGTTTGGCCTGAAACTGGGATGCTGTAGGTTGGGACCCTTTTACATGAATAAACTTGTTCCTCTAGAAACCAAAGAATGAGTTGAAAAGAAGGCCTAACATCTAGGATCCACAAGGAATTCAAACATGCCAAAAAGAAAAACACAAACAGCCCCATAACAAAGTGAGCAAAATATATGAACAGACACTTCTCAAAAGAAGACATATGAGCAGCCAGCAAATACATGGAAAAATGCTCAGCCGCACTAGTCATCAAAGAAATTCAAATTAAAACCACACTGAGAGACCACCTAACTCCAGTCAGGATGGCTGTCATCAATAACTCAGAAACCAACAGATGCTGGAGAGGATATGAGAGAAAGGGGACACTTCTACACTGTTGGTGGGAGTGTAAACTAGTATAGCCTCTGTGGAAAACAGTGTGGCAATTCCTAAAAGATCTAAAAATTGACCTTCCATACGACCTTGCAATCCCCCTACTGGGAACATACCCAGAGGAACTCAAATCATTCTATGAAAAAGATACCTGCACACATATGTTTACTGCAGCATTGTTCACAATAGCAAAAACATGGAACCAACCATGCTGCCCATCGAAAGAGAACTGGATTTAAAAAAATGTAGTGGGCATACACACGATGAAATATTACGCAACCATAAAGAAGGACAAAATAATGAACTTCACAGCAACCTGGACGGACTTAGATCTTTCACAGAAACAAAGAACTGAGAATCACATGTTCTCACTCATAAGAGTACCTTGAACAATTCTGGTAATACAATAAGAAAGGGATTGGCAGTAGTGGGAAACTGTAGGGGTCGGGGTGGGGGGTGGTGGTGGAATTCACAGTAGTGGGAAACTGCCAAGGCAGAGAGGCCACACCTCACCAACAAGGGTACCTGCATAATGAACATTTATATACCTAACCCTGAATTGTACACCACATCTTTAAAATAAAAAATATTTTTTAAAAAAGCCACCTTGAGTTATCAAAGCAGGAGTCTGGTCTAACTATGGGTTAGGGTCAGTATGGGTTCATTCTATATCACTCTCACAACCTCCAAGAGAAAAACATACCTCATGCCCATCAGCAAAAGCAGCAATACACGGAAACGAACAGACCCTGCAAAATACCTCACAATTAAAAAATATGAATGGAGTTTAAAGACACTTACAGATGTTCTGCAACAAGCATTTATAATCAGGGACTGCCACTAAGTTTCCTTGTACAGTGTATGGTAAGGGGTTTCAACTTGCAAATAGAGATCTACGGTGGGTAGATTTCAACTCTCCATCTGGCAGTCTGTAAGCTAGGCTTACTAGTACTCAATCTTAGCTCAGTTACTTGGCAAGATTCCCCCCCTCAAAAGGAGTGAATTCAGCAAATATTGTCTCTCATCAATGACAACTTCCATAATATGCCTATCCCCAGTGACCTCAAGTCTGTAAGAAACTGCTCTTTATAAAATCTATAGACTTTCCAAAGGATATAGTGTTAAAAATATCCCAAATTGCAAATAAATACGCTAAAAACTGATAGAGATAATGTTTATGCACACTCAAGTAAATGACTAGGCCAACAAGATCTGATCTTCCTAGTTTTCTACTCAGTGGACAGTAGTGCTCAAAAAATAATATATCTATCTTCTGTGCTAAAATAAAACAGATCCTCAACTGTCCTTTTAACATATTAGACATTTTCAGAATACAACTAGTCAATAAAATAATGCTCAGAGAGACATCTTACCTTCTTTGGTCACCAAGTTTGTTGTTTAGGTGATTGAGAAACCATCTACTGCCCTTCAAAGCAAATAATGCAAACTCTTATTTTTTAAAAAAATCAAGATGTCTTGTTTAATACTATTCTGATCAGCGTATAGAGTACAGTGTTTGCTTCTAAATGTACAAAATGCAGTAATGTCACGACACTTCACAAAGATTCCTTATATAACAATGCTTTGTTAACAATACTTTGTGCCAAAGAGGAGCCTCCAGGCACATGTTTCTGGAAGCACTGCCCCCCAGCCACTAGATTTCAGCTGAGGAATACTTAGGTCTTCAAAAGTTATGTTTCACTGAGTTAGAAGAGTAAGCAAAAGAAATACATCTTACTAGATTATAATACTTGACTAACACATTGGGCATCTACTTCTGTAGCACCTGCTCAGTATGAACTAACCACACATCCATACAATTTATCACTTTTGGGTTTATCTGGATATATTACCCACTGCCAATTTTCCTATTTGGGAGTTCTCTATCCTCCTTCTCTCTGGGTTCTCTCTCCTGGCATAGGTTCTGTGGACAAAGACTATTACGAGAGTTCTAACCAGCACGTATCAGGAAGGTAATTTTTTTGCCACCAACATTTTTTTTTTTAAGAGACAGGGTCTCCCACTACTGCCCAGGCTGAAGGGAAACGACAATCATAGCTCACTGCAGCCTCAGACTCTGGGCTCAAGTGATCCTCCAGCCTCAGTCTCCCGAATAGCTGAGATTACAGACAGGATCTTATTATGTTGTCCAGGCTGGTCCTGAACTCCTGGCCTCAAGTGATTCCCCCCACTTGGCCTCCCAAAGTGCTGGGATTATAAGCATGAGCCACTATGTCCAGCCTATTGCCTCCAATATTATAAAGGCAAAGAGACACAGCTCTAGCCTTTCGCTCTTCTTTGTTAGCAAAGATTGACGTTGTGGTCAAATGTTCCACAAACTTTACATCCAGCACTAAATAGACATCAGCAGGGTAAGGCTTTCATCTAAAAGCGATTTGAAGCCAAGCATGGTGGCTCACACCTCAGCACTTTGGGAGGACTGCTTGAGCCCAGGAGTTCAAGAGCAGCCTGGCAACAAAATAAGATCCTGTCTGTAATCCCAGCTACTCGGGAGACTGAGGTGGAAGGATTGCCTGAGTCCATGAGGTCAAGGCTGCAGTGAGCCATGATCGTGCCACTGCACTCCAGCCTGAGTGACAGAGCAAGACTCTGACTCAAAAATAAATAAAAAAAATAAAAGCAATTCAGTTGAGAAGTTGATGGCTCTGGGCAGGGGGTGGGGAGAGAATGATTTTGGAAGCAAAGTAATGACTTTTCTCCTATTTTCATCAATGTCCCTGCAAATGAGGGAATGACATAGAGGGAAAAGGAAATTAACATCTGAGTGTCCACAACAGTCCAGGGCCTTCCAGATTCTCTCATGCAGTTTTCATGATTTTGAAGTGGCTTATTCCCATTTTATAGATGAGGGCACTCAGGCTTCACAAGTCAACTACTTTGTCAAAATGCATACATCACAAAAATTGTGGTGGAGGGAGGGAAAACTCAGTTCTGAGACAGAGTTCAAGCCCAAGCTTGGGATAGCCCCAAAGCGTATGGTTTTTCCATTTATATCATACTGAATCCTAGCTAAACAACTACAATGTACAACTACAAAAAAAAAAAAAAAAAAAATCAAGCCAGGCTCGGTGGTTCAGCCCGTAATCCCGCGCCTTTGGGAGGCTGAGGTGAGTGGATTGCCTGAGCCCGCAGGTTCGAGACCTGCCTGGGCAACTTGGCGAGACCTCATCTCTACGATAAATCAAAAAATTAGCCGGGCGTGGCAGCGCGTGCCTGTAGTTCCAGCTACTTGGAAAGCTGAGGCGGAAGGATCGCCGGAGCCCAGCTGGTCAAGGCTGCGGTGGCCGGGAGCGGTCACTGTGCTCCAGTCTGGGCAACAGAGTGAGACTCCAACTCAAAAAAGAAAAAAAAAAAAAAAATCAGTTCAAGAGTTAGCATTTGCTCTAAGAAATTCCACCTGAGAAAACTAGCATTGTGTCATATTGTGATAATTGGCTCAGAATCTGAGATAATATAAAGATCCTGATTGAATACAATGCTGATTTCACTGCAGTTTGTACCAGAAAGGCTTTGTTAATATGATCACTGTTGTTAAAAATCTTGCCTTTTCCTAAAACAGCCTAACCTTCATTTTGAGAACTTTTTTTTTAAGAGAAAAAGTGTTTCAGCTATTTTAGGATGAAGGTAGATATATAACAAAGCTTAAGCTGTTTTTGTGCCATTAAAAGACACCATCACAGCAAACCCAGGTTGCTGAGAAGACACTGAAAACTATTACTTCTCCAGATTGTAGAGGCTGGTTGGCTCAAAACACAATCATTCCATAACATTCCTCTTTCCCTAGAGCATGCCAGGTCCATTCTAGCCTCCTGCCATGAAAGCAGTTGCCCATTGCAAGGCTAAAATGCTCTCATTTCTTCCCCAATTCTCCCCCACCCTCAAGGTTCACTGAAAATTGCTCACCCCAAGACATTTTCTTTGACTCAATCCATCAAATTCACATAGTTCTATCTCCAATCCAAGTCACCTAAAAAGAAGTCCCATCTGTATACTGTTCTTCAAATTGTTTTGCTTAAGTGGGAGACAGGTTGTTAAGAATGGCAATCTAATCACACTTAGGAGAAAAAAAAATCCTCCCTTAAGACCAAGGCACAAGAAACTATTGAGAGGATGCCTAATATATATTGGCTAAACAGAAATTTGTATGACCAGGAATCTCACCGTGTCAAATTCTTGATCCTTAATTTTTTTGAAAGCTTCAGCAATGGCATCATCATCAAACCACTGATGGACAAGGTCATCCCTTGATTTTCTAATCGTCAGTCTACATAAGGCTTCAGAAATAGCAACCTGCTGGTCATAATCTAAAGATTTAAAACATGGTAGACAGATAATTCTACGCACAAGGCAAAAGAAAAAAAATCAGTTTCAGGGTTAGCATTTGTTCTAAGAAATTCCATCTGAGAAGACTAGCATTTTGTCTTACAATCATAAGCAGCAAGATGAATCCTGGAGTCATTATCATGTAAACTCAATATTTGAGACATATTAGGAGAAAAATCTGAAAGGTTGGCATATAACAACTTTTAAAATAATATTTATGGGTTTTATATTTTAGCTATATTAAAATAGTCATCAAAAGCAGATCAAACAGCCTTAAAAATATTTCTACAAGACTAAAACTCCAAAATAAATTGTGATATTACAAACAGATATATTAAAATAACATGCATCAACATATTTATATTTCAAATAATTTTAAGGATAAAAAGGGAGTCAAAGCCCAAAAGGATGCCATTTATATAATGCTTTTAAAATCCACAAAATAATAATATACTTTGCTTATGAATGCATACAGTATAAGTAGAAAAATATGCTTAGAAATGAAAAACAAAACCAAATCAGTAGTGTAAAATGAGATAAGGGACAGGAACACCAGGGACTTTATCTGTGACTGATTTCTTTTATTTAAAAAAAAAAACTTGAAGCAAATGTTAAGGCTGGTGAGTAAGTGAATAGTTACCAGTTATTCTTTATTGTTTTCAGCATGCTAAAAACTCTCAAAATAAATAAAATCCTAATTTCCATTTTCAATTTGACTGTAATTTATTTACCACAGTTATAAGATGCCAATGCCCCCAGTGTGAAATATTCAATATTCTAATATTTAAAATTCTAAATATTGCTTACCACCCACAGTCAAGATTGTCCTTGCAAGGTCTTTCCTGAAACATTAAGATAAATTACATTTAACTGAAGTAAAAATTGAGAGGTAAATCTATATTATACTGGCATTAAGATAAGCTTTTGTAGCTATTTCAAATTCAGCATTATAATTTCCTCTATGTCAATAATACATTTTTATAGAAAAACTTTAAGTTTACATATTAACGACCTAGATGTACTTTTTTTTTTTCTGAGACAAGGTCTCACTCAGTATCCCAGGCAGGAGTCCAGTGGTATAATTGTGGCTTACTGCAGCCTTGACCTTCTGGACCTACATAATCTTCCTATCTCAGTCTCACAAGTAGCTGGGACTACAGGTGTGTGCCACCATACGCAGCTAGTTTTTTAAAATTTTTTGTAGAGATGAGGTCTGACTATGTTGCCCAAGCTGGTCTTGAACTCCTGGGCTCAAGTAATCCTCCCTCCTTAGCTTCCCAAAGTGCTGTGATTACAGGCATAAACTCACATTATATATTTATTTCGAATTTCAGCTAAATGCTAACAAGTGTGACACTGATCTTTTTCAATGCCTGAAGTAACATCCATTTTAAAGAACAGATTTGTTAAGAAATTCTGTAATAGTTCAGTTTCTCATAGTAAGCTGATTTGTTATTAAATAGAGACTTAAAACACTATCACTGAGAGTTCTGCTTAATTTTATGCTTGCACATTTTACCTTCCAGAACTTCTCCAGACTTTCTAGAACACACAGAAAATAAAGTAGTATGACCACAGAATTAGTTTGAAAACTTAGGAGAAAACATTAGCTGCTCTCCAAATCTAAATACACCACTGAGACTAGTGATTTTACTAATAAAATCAAAAATTTTAAGAAAAAATTCAGTGGAAAAACTTCATCCTGCAAAGACTAGTTAGATGGACAAGCATGATGCCAATGAGCTCCCTGCTTGCCAATTAACTTCTCTCAGGCCCTACACTTTGGCTGCAGGCCACATCAATTATGTGCCACATTCATGTCCTCCAAGCTGATTAATGGTCAGCACAGCCCCAAGATTAGGTTCAAATTTCAAAATGGGGTGCTGGTTTTGTTGTTTCTATGGTCACCATTACAACCTTACCTCTAAATTTCATATCCCAAGAACTATGAAACAGTGACTCTGGACAAAATCCATTACTTGAAAAGCAACACAAATTCCAGGCCCTAATGGTTAGCCAATAACTGGTAACCTTGCAGTATTTACTCTTCACCAGGTAATGTGCTCATCGTTTAAATGGATTGCTTGACCTAACCTTTACAATAACTCTTAAGCAGGTATTATCACTGACTTTGCCTTATAGGCAAGCAAACTGAGGTGCCATAAGATTAAGGCTGTACTCATGAACAACCAGTCTAAGGGGAAAAACTAGGATTTGAGGCTTTAGGGTCTATATTCAAACAATCTTCCATGAGTCACTTATTTGGTTCACATTCATAACGAAAAAAGAATCAACAGCTTGAGAAGGCACTTTGCATGACAAGTCTGACGCAAAAAACAAAAGACCTCATACTATCCCAAAGAATTTAGCAAAGTCTGCCCTTCTTCCTCAGCTGGCTTCACTGCCTAGCACAATGCCTGATACATAAGAGGCGCTGTGGGGAGGTGGGGTTGGCAGTAGTGGGAAACTGCTTGGGGAAGGGGGCACACCTCATCAACAAGGTACCTGCACAATGAATATTTGTATACCTAGCCCTGAATTTTACCCCACAGTTTTAAAATAAAAAATTTACAGGTGAAAAAAAAGAAAGAGGTGCCAAAACATTTGCTGAAGGGAGGAATAAAGTAAGCAGATCTAAGAGATTTTACCCTTTTACCACATCACATAACTTGTACAAAGTCACTTACATAAGACGACACATGCCTTCTGACTGAGGGAATTTTTTTCGCTCTTCCCGCGGTACAGTGTTCAAAATGCAGTTCAGAGTTCTCAAAGCCTTTTTGGAATTGGAGATGAAAATTCATGGATGAGAAACAAAATGGAGACCTACGCTCCACCTTCTTTAAGGTTGCTGGAGCCACTATTATCTGTTTTGCTATTTGCAACTCACCTCCTGTTGAATCAAATGATTTACAGTCTCTTCTGTCACCAGGAATCCTAAGCTAAATAGGAAGTGATCCAACATCTGAATTTTTCCTGAAAGCATAATTTTCAATAAGAATGAATTTATGCTAAAAGAGAAAAGGAAGAAAGAAAGAAAGGAAATGACTCCTACACAGCAGGATAAGGCAAAGATAGAAAGAGCTATGAGAGCAGTAATCAATTCAGAAATGATACATTCTGATCAGGGACAAATTACAGGCTGCTTCGAGTTATAGAAACTTGCAGTCCACAACACTGTGTTACACAGTTGACATTACATAGCTACCCACTAAGGGAAATAACAGCAGCACAAGCAAAGTGTGACTGTTCATGATGATCGTCATACCTTAAGCAAAGCTACTTTTTCGTCCACGCTCAGAAATGTGCAAAGGCAGCACCTACAGTTTCCAGGTGTTTCCATGTATCTCTTACACTTGTGCATTTTATAAAAATAAAAATTTTACGATGTCTTGCACTAACGGAAAAGCAGGAAGTTTTAAATTAAGTGTCGCCCTTTATTAAATGGTATAATCACAGAAATTTCTTTGTTTATTTTTTAAAGATGTGGGTACAATTCAGAGTTAGGTATACAGACGTTGATTATGTAGGTACCCTTGTGATGAGGTATGCCCCTCCCTCCCCTGGCAGTTTCCCACTACTGCCAGTCCCTTTCTTATAGTATTATGATAATTGTTCAAGGTTCGCTTATGAGTGAGAACGTATGATACTTTTGTTCTTTGTTTCTGTGATAGATCACTGAGTATGATAGACTCTAAATCCATCCAAGTTGCTGCATGGTCCATTTGTTTGTCCTTCTTTATGGCTACATAATATTCCATTGTGTATATGTACCACATTTTGTTTAATACAGTCCAGCTTCAATGGGCAGCATGGCCAGTTCCGTGTTTTTGCTACTGTGAATAGAGCTGTAACAAACATACATGTGCAGGTATCTTTTTTTGTAGAATGATTTGAGTTCCTCTGGAAATATTCCCAACAGGGGATTCACTGGGTCATATGGAAGGTCAATTTCTAGTTCTTTCAGAAATCGCCACACTGTCTCCCACAGGGGTTGCACTAGTTTGCATTCCCACCAGCAGTGTGGAAGTGTTCCTTTTTCTCTGCATCCTCGCCAGCATCTGTTGCTGTTTGTTTTATTAATGATGGCCATTCTTACTGGGGTTAGGTGGTATCTCAGTGTGCTTTTGATTTGCATTTCTCTGATGATTAGTGAGGCTGAGCACTTTGTCATGTGTCTGTTGGCTGCCCGTGTATCTTCTTTTGAGAAGTGTCTATTCATGTCTTTTGCCCACTTTTAATGGGGCTATTTGTTTTTTTCCTTTCGGCACATTTGAATTCCTTGTAGATCCTAGATGTTAGGCCTTTGTTGGATATACAGTTGGCAAATATTTTTTCCCAGTCTGTGGACTGTCTCCCTGCTCTCGTGATGGTTTCTTTTGCTTTGCAGAAGCTTGTCAGTATGATGAGTTCCCACTTGTCTATGTTATTTCTTATGGTATGGGCACTTAGGGTTCTGATCAGGAATTGGTTGCTAGTTCCAAGTTCCATAAGGGTGTCTCCTGCATTTTCTAAGATCCTTACAGTTGAAGGCTTTACGTTTAGGTCTTTGATCCATTTAGAGTTAATTTTTGTGTATGGTGATAGGTAGGGGTCCTGTTTCAATCTTCCGCATGATAATCACAGAAATTTCAACAGTTAATTTATAGTCAGTACGTAATAAGAAAAACGGGGTCTGTGGTACTACTTTATGCTTATAAAAAAATAAATTATGATTTTATTTATGTATATTAAGTTATGAAATAATGGCAGTATACACTGTAAAAACTCATAGTAAGGTCTAGCATAACCTTGAGAGATTCAGATGTACAAATTTGATATGTTAATTATTTATCACACATTGTATACTTTGTAAATCCCATATAACTTGTAAAATTGTAGAAACCCAAACCAGGAAATAGAAACAAAAAAATTCCTATTCAGTCCAAACAAGTCACATTGATACTGCTGGATGATCTCTAGAAAGTAGAAATTTGACAAGGAGCTGTGCCAACTTGACCACCAGCTTAAAACTTGAAGGAAAGATTCTAAGAGAGCCTGAAAGGGGGGGGGGGGGCAGTGTGGAATTGTTTGTGCCCTTTGTTAATTAGCAATACCAGGTGCCATCAGTTTTCATTTTAAGAGTAGTAAGAGAAACAAACTGCATATGGCCCTAAGAAAGAGGAAAGAGGAGCATGGTAACTCAAGATGTTGCAGAAAAGTACCTTTTGAAAAATACTTAATTCTGGAAACTTAATTTAGAGAAGCACCTGATTCATCTTTTCAAAAACTCAAAAAGAACATGAATTCTATGAAATGAGAAATTAGATTTGTAAGAGATGGCAATAGTCTAAGATAAAAATATACATCAACAAGAAAGAAACGTGCATTATGAAAATCAAAACTATTCTAGATATTTCAATCTGAGGGAATTTAATACAGGGAATTAGGTACAAAGATGATGAGAGTTGGAAAGCCAAACCCAGAATAGTGAAGTAACCTAGAGATTAATACCAGCAGGGAGCCACTCTCCCCCAACCCCTGCAAGTGGAAGGTCACAGGGAGGAAGTGGTATTACCATTTCCCAGGAATCAATGCCACCTAGCAAAAGCTACAACCACAAACGGGGGGGCCATAGCCACAGGAACTATGTAGCCACTACTGGAGATGGTAGCCCAGAAGAAGGGAAAAGGAGAAAAGTCCTATTTTCTCCCACCTACTTCCTGTTTTTCACTAGTGTTTCCATTTACAAAAAAGATAGAAGTCCACTAGTTGGCAAGAATGCCTAGGAAAAAATAGTACTGTGCAATACAAAGGAGAGGCAGAGAGGGACAGAGGGAGGAGGGAGGGAGGAGGGAGGGAGGGGGAGAAGGAGGGAGGGGGAGGAGGGAGGAAGAATGGAGCTGAGAGCAGAGGCAGATCACCACCATCCACAGGTTTCAAAGATGTGATTGCAGAATTGAGGTTTATAGTAAAACCAACAAGACCACAATTAGTTAAAGCAATAATTTCCAAGAAAAACTTGAAACTGCCATCAAAATGCAGTAGAAAAAAATGAGTGAGAAAAAGCAGCATATGAATGCAAAAACAAAGATGTAACAGATGAATAACAATCTTACAAGAAGAGGCAAACAGAAAGTAGCTATGGACTTCTTGGTGGCCTCCCCCACCATTCTTTCCCTCCTCCTCTGTTATGGATGGAGCAGTCATGATATTTGGGGTGGCTACTGATGAGCTGAAATTATGGGGCACCCCGTTCATCTTTTCACAATGACTGGTTCATTTAAGGGCACAGCATACAATCAGAGCAAAGATAGGGCTTTTGTTTGCTGGTGAGGAAAGTGAACATTTCTCCTCCGGATGTAAACCAGAAAGCACAAAGCTCTAGTTGCTGGCATTCTCTTTCAACTATCAGGGGAAACCAACTTGGGAGCAAAAACTAGACTCTGAGGAAGACAACTGAAAGAACTGCAGAAAAACGAAGCAGAATCACTTCACTTCCAAATAGCCTGTCTCTGGACTTTTTTCCCACTACAAATAGGACTTTTTCTTTGATACTATGAAAAGACTGAAACTTAAACAGATTCCTGGACCGGTGGTTCATATCCATCAGCACAGTTTTAGCACTTGTCTCGTCCCCAGTAGCTTTTTCAGAGTTATTTCCCCATGCAGCTCTATGAGTTTTCCCAGTTCAGACTTGGGCTTCAGCAGTTTTACTTTTACTTTTCTAACAAAGACATCACAAAGAGGATAAATAGATTGGCAGGCCTCTTCTATGTCTTTTCCAAAACTGTCCAGAATCAACTTATTGGCCACTTCTTTCAAATCACTTACCTGTACTTCTCAGGTCACGATTTCCATCATCTTCTCAGACCTGTTGGTGCTGAGCATAAGAGATTGTCTGTATCTGCTTGTTGCAGTTTTGGTAAAAGCAACACAAAACAGAGGGAGCAAATAACCATAGTCTTCACATCAACATGAGCTTCAATCTGCCATTTTTTGGCCATGGAACACATTTTGCCATGGGTAAGGTCCATGCCATGGACGTTGGGCAGTTTTTGCCCTGAACATCTTTAGTAATTCACTTAAATTTTCTAAATGCAACATCATCATTCTGCAGATCAGCAAGACTCACTTCATACACATGACACTTCAGGCATCAGATGCAATTTTGGTTTCTTGAGTCCTGGTGACTAGTGTTATTTCAATATTTCTTTTTTTTCTTTTTGAGTAGAGGTCTCACTCTGTCACTGAGGCTGAAGTGCAGTGACATGATCACAGCTCACTACAACCTTGACCTCCTGGGCTCAGACAATCCTTCCAACTCAGCCTCCCAAGTAGCTGGGACTGCAGGCACATGCCACCATGCCCAGTTAATTTTATTTTATTTTATTTTCTGAGGGGTGAGGTCTCACTATGTTGCCCAGGCTGGTCTTGAACTCCTGGACTCAAGCAATCCTCACCCAAAGTTCTAGGATTACTGATGTGAGCCACTGCACCCAGCCCAAGAGTTATATTGCATAAAAGCAAGAAAGATATCCTCAAATGACCAGAAGCTCTGACCGTGTCCCTTTCCACATCCTAGTAACACTCTTAAATATATATTACAGCAGATGAAGACAAAGCAGAATAAAGAATCTAAGAATGAAGATGTCCTATAGAGGGGTTGGTTTAAAAAATAATAATAAAAGCCTTAAATAGCTGTCTCAAATCCACTACTGTGTTCCAAGCAAATGATGTTGCAAAACAAGACAAAGAGTAAATGATATTTACAAAGATACACAACACAGACATAAAAAAGAGTAGAAAATGGGGGAGAAATAAAAACACGATAAATTCCTTGTCATATACAAAGAAGATAGAAGGCATCATCATTTTAATGTGGTGATTTAATTAAGAGTAACCACCAGAAGAATAAAAGGCATACTCCATTCAAATCACCAGAGAGGGGCAAACTGAAAGAAAACATACACATATCAAAACCCCAAACAAAGAAATCATATAAGAATACATACAGTAAGTCTTGAAACAAAAAAGAAGGTGTGATTAATTTTGTCCATGGCAGGAGGAGGTGGGAAGAAAGTCAGTGAAAGCATCTTTCAACTTCAGAGAGACGGATTAGACATCTGCTTTGTAGAGCCTTGGCATAACACCCACAAGATAACTGTCAAAGGCCACAAGTGAAAACCTGCCACTTGCAGAGAGGACAGCCCTGCTGACATGTCCAGAGTGACTCCAAGCACAGATTGCCATCTCTATGGACTGACTGTACTTCCCCAAATTCATATTTCAGAGACTTAACTCCCAATGTGATGATATTTGAGATGGGGCCTTTGAAAATTAATTAGTTTAGATGAGGTCATAAAGATGGGCTCTCATGATGGGATTAGTGCCCTTCTAAGAGACACCAGAGAATTTTTGGGGTCTTTGTCTGCCATGTGAGCACACAGTAAGGAGCCAGGTAGAGGACCCTCACCAGAACCTGACCACGCTGGCACCTTAATAGCAGACTCACTGCCTCCAAAACTGTGAGAAATAAATATCCGTTGTTTAAGCCACCCAGTGTATGGTATTTTGTCATGGCAACCTGAGTGGACTAATCCAAAGCAGTGTTTTCTCCCCTCGGAGTACTGGGGTCATTGCAAGGATTATGTAACTCCATAAACTCACCAAGCAATGATTGCAGACTGAGCAGGCAGCTCACAGGGGCTGTTTTTCAAATACACAGCATATATATATTGTTGTGATTCATAAAATACAAATTTATCTTAAAATGTTATAAAAGCCAATGTTGTCTTTGTCATTGTGTATCTTATCAATCAGTTTTAAAGATAGTAACCATCTGTTACTGCAAGCCACGGTCTTACAGTGAAGATCATAAAAAATTGACTTGAAAATATTTGGATGGGGAGCAGGATTGGCAGTAGTGGGAAACTGCCAAGGAAGGTGGGGGGGCACACCTCATCCACAAGGGTACCTGCATAATGAATATTTGTATACCTCACCCTGAATTGTACTCCACATCTTCAAAATAAAAAATTTAAAAATTTAAAAATAAATAAATAAAACAAAAAGAAAATATTTGGATCTACTGACTTAGATTATGAGGACCATGTTTTCAAATCAGCCAAACCTATTTTAGCTTCTGGTACTGAATTTCCTCAATTACCAGACACTGTTTGTTGCAGAATGCAGTATTAAAGAGTCTGTCAAAAGAAAAAGATGTACCATAGGAATAGGGCATGTCCATTTCAAGATGGCTCCAGTTTCTGAAATGTTCGAGTACTTTAAGTGCATCTTTGAATTCATGGTGTCATAACTCAAATGTCAAATTACCTTTAACTTGAGCTAAATTGAAAAAGGCAATCTAACCTCCAACATTTCTAAAATTTTACCTTTTACACTCTTGAAAAACAGAAAAAGGCTCCTGAATCAGCTACAAGTTAAAGCAGTAATAGCTAAACTTTTTGCTGGTTTGGAATGGCAAAAGTGGCTTTCTATCACTTGAACAGAGCTAAGTAGCTAGATGGTAAAAAAAACACCTACACAAAAATGTATCTCAGGCAAACCAAGACATTCTTTACAAAGAAATGCATTTCAACATCACAATATGACTACCATGGTCAATAAATCCAAATATAATGTTTACATCTACTGTACTTTTACATATAATTTAAATATTATTTTCTCTGAATGAGAATATTCTATTAATGAAAAATTATAGCCAATTAGTAACCAATAATATACTTACCTTTACTACTTCTCCTGGAAACAATCTAATAAAAAGAAAAAAGAAAGCTCATATTAATTCATAACAGCATTATAAACTATAAGGTAAATGTATCAATGCTAACATTCTCTACCAGGCAGGAGTTGACTTTAAATATAGAAAAAAGAATTTTAGAGAAGTCTGTTTAAGCTTCAATTACATTATTAAAATAAGCATATCATCCTCATCAGGTAAATAACATTTATATGTGTGAAAATAAATCACTTCTCATTTTTTCTATAACATTGTTTATATGCTTTTACTATGTAACATGATAGTCTAAGAATAAAACATGAGTCTTGACAAAACTTACAACTTATAGAAAACCATGTTTTACAAATAACTTGAAGATCCCTACCAATGGCATCTGCTCAGTACAGCAACTACCCCATATCCTTACCAACGCCGTGTCAAAGAGGTCTTCCATAACACTAATCAGCGATGTGTCTGAGGCTAGGTCTTCCAAGATCAGAAATCCTGTTATCCTTTCAAGCCAGGAAACTAGGTACACAGGAGAAGAAACACTAATAGAACTGCGTAAGACTGAATATTGCCTATTTAATGAAATTTCACAAGATAGCTTTCTCACTAGAGCAAAGTTATCATAAAGACCTTTTTGCATTCCATAACATTTCAGTAAGGACTGGCTCTGAGGCCTTGTATCCAGAATGCTTCAGGATGGAGCCACATTGCTATAGAGTTATAATAAGTAAGTTCTCAGAGGTCAGCAAAAATTGGAGACTTGGCCAGAATCCATACCAGAAAGCCATGTAAATGGGCTTGCGAAGAAGGTTTCAGAGATAAATGAACTTGTCCAACACAAGAGAAAATTTTGTAATCTGAGAAGTTGTTGAAACAAACTATCAAAGAAGATGCAGCATTTGAAAAGTGCTGCAAAAGTATCCATGGATGCATTAAATATGCCTCAGGCCTAGTTATCTTTCTTTAGCCAAAAGCTTCCAGTTAATTTTTTCCTGTAGGAGTATATATATCCAATTTCACAATAAGTTTCTAGGATTAGTATGATTTAAAATAAATCTCTGTAACCTCCTCCCAGAATACACAGTTTTTATTCAACAAAGCGAAAGCCATCTTTGAACAATTTTTGCTAAGACTAGTCACTCTTACAAAGAAAAAAAAATCCTACATGCATAAGTAGAAATCATCAGTTAAACATGAAATCAGTCACATGAGTTTGTGATGAACAACTCTTACAGGGACTGGGCCTTCAAAACCTTTTGCACTTTGGAGCCAAGTACCCAGGGCACCCTAGCTCAAGACCGTAAATGAACCAATCAGCTCTCAATTTCGAAATAGGAAAATTCAAAAACCCCAAAGCCTAGGACTCATTCCAGACCCAGTGAATGAAGATCACTGGTGATGGGGCCCAGACAGTGTTTGTTCTCTGGGTGATTACAACGGACAGCAAGGTATGAGAGGCACTGTTATGTCCCAAGTAAGTTCTCTTTTATCTCAAATCAGGCAAATATTTGCATTAGATTTTATCATCCACCTTTCAAAACAAATTTTCTACCACAGGGTAAGGAAAGAAATGCTCCCTCTACGCAGTGGAACTCACTGCTAAAGCCATATTTTCTCCCTCCCTATATTCATGCTCAAAATTCACTTTAAAGACATTTTTGGCATCATTCCATCCATTTTCCTAAAGGCTATCTCCCTCCCAGAATCTCCAACCAAATATATTGGTTGAGTATCTGAAAAAATAGAGGGAAAGGCCACATTATCTGATCCATACTTGGGAATGGGAAATAGTCACTTTATCCATTGATGTGACACGATTATACATTGTCTAGCAAACACTCCAGCTGTCCCCACAGGTGTGTCGTTACCAGAAGCCAGATACAACAGAAATGACTTATTAGAAATAGGGTATAGGACAAGTTGCTTAAGCTTCCTCATATAGGACTAAATATGTTCCTTTTTGTAGGAAATTATTGTCCTTCGGAGAAGAATAATTCCCAAGCACACTTGGTGTTGAGTCTGCAAACACTATTGTCTTTAGAATTATAGAGTTTAGTATCCCACTCTCTAATGATTTTGACCTACTTTCTGGCAGCAATCTGTGAAATAACAGTGTCTAACTTATGGTTATGAAATGTTACCAACTAGAATTGCAGTGAAATATGGAAATTCCTATTTGATTTTAAAACTCCAGGGAAAATTTGATTTGCTACTTTTTTAAACCTTGGGAGGACATTATTAAGCCAAAATAGAAAAGTCAGTAGAAAAAAAAATTCCTGCACACACACCCCCAAAAATAAGTTTACGATTACAAGGTATATCCCTGCACCTTTTCCTTTGGGCTTTTATATCCTCTTTCCTGCTTCATGTTACTTCCATGAATTAGTGTATCCAGGTCCCGTGGGATTAAATGAAAAATGAAATAGACACGGTTTGTATAAGCACAGTCTTTAACACCTTCTGCAAATACCTTTTAAAGCTCTTGAGAGGATTTGGGAATGCCTGGAGTTTATTATTTCTTCCCTGAAGGGGACAGCTTCATAACTGAAGGCATTTTAGGGTGGGGGGAAGGCAGATATAGATCTTCTTGACCCAGTCTAGCCTTAATAAACTTCAGGTACTAGAGCACAAGGGGTAAATCAGAAACTATTAGCAGCAATAAGCAAACTCTCAGGACTACAAAAACCTCATCACCAAAAAAAGAATCCAGCAAGAGATGTTACAAATTCTACTTTGCTTCCAGATGCCATTATATAAACACTCACAGTGTTATCTCCTGGTTAATTTAAAAAAGTAATAGAATTTGCTAACTCGGGTGACTTTGAATAAGCAAAAAATGTTTTGCTGTTTGCTTTTTCAGATTCATCCAGGGCTTAGAAAATTTTAAAAAGGTGTTATGAGAGCAAAGGGAAGTTTTTGATGGTATTTCTCCTAGTCTAATATTCTTAACAAAGCCTATTAAAATAGTTGACAGGTGTGGTGGCTCATGCCTGCAATCACAGCACTTCGGAAGGTGAAGCAAGAGGATGGCCTGAGCCCAAGAGTTTGAAACCAGCCTGGCAACAGAGCGAGATCCTCTCTCTGCAATAAATCAAAAAATTAGCCAGGAATGGTGGTGCACACTCATAGTACAGCTACTTGGAAGACTGAGGAAGATTGATTAACCTTAACCCAGCAAGTCGAGGCTGTGGTAGCTGTGATTGTGCCACTGCACTCCAGCATGGGCAACAGAGTGAGACTCTGAAACACACACACACACAGTTATAGAGCCTACGCCTACTCATCTTCCCCAAATTCACTCAAATAACTTAAAACATCCTCTGCCATAAGCTCGTCAAGGGGAGCAGCTGTGCCTGACTCCACCCTGTACACTCCCAGTGTACACTGCCCTACCCAGCTATACATCAGAATATGTGTACTGAATTTAATTTTTAAGTGGATATAGGCAACAAGAACGGATACCAATTTCTTTTCCAATTGGATTTCAAAGGAACAAAAAACACCAACTTAACAAAATAACTGAATCCACACTAGGTCTTGAAGTTACCCCGAATCATATAAAATTAAAATAGGACACTTATCTTTGGGATCAGTCCCTGCAGAATTAGCAAAGGCTCATCATCTTTGAGGTCATCTATGAAGAATCGCTGAATACATTTCAGCAACAGTGAAACGTGCTGAAATTCATTTTTATCCAGTTCCTAGGTATTAAACCACACTAAATTAAAACTCTTATAAATAATTATTAAAAAGTACTTTCATACCTTGGTCACAAAACAAATCAACTTACGTACCTTATGTATTGATCTGTCAAGATGGTATAATAGAAGATGATTATATTTTTGAGGAAAGCGTCTTTCTTTCTGTTGAAAATATTCTTTTATTTTCTGAAATCCTTTACCATGAAATGCATCAATAATAAGTAATTGAAGCTGGAAAAGTGATAGTTTGCAAATTACTTTTTTCCCCAAGAACATTTATTCTATAGTAATATCTCTAATGAATATCATTATCAGTAACAATTCAGTATGAAATAATGTAGGGTAAATATAGACTAGAGATCTCTATCTTGAATAGTAAACAATCACTTAAATGACTGATGTTTCTGTTGGCTTAAGATAAGTTCTCCAAATGTGATTTTTAGATGACCAGGAGCATTGGCATCACCAGGGAACTTGTTAAAACTCAGAGACTAGAGTGGACCCTTCAGATGATTTCGATGCATGATCAAGTTTGGGAACTACTGATTTAAGGAAAATTACACTTGAACTACAGATATCAACAAGTGAAGACCCATAGTAATGTTGCAAATCCTCAAACACTAAAAAATGCAAACCTATGATCACTCAGGTGATATAAAATATAATAGAAGAAAATACTGATAAAAATGCAATGGATAAATATGTACATTGGTCATAATAAATGAAGTTGATCTTCTCTGCCTGAACATTAGCCAAGACACACTTATAAGTATATACACTTGAATAACAGACATTTCCTTAAATATCTGTAATGTAAAATATATTATTTTTAACCCTGAAGAACTGAGTGAAAAAAATTAAAATATACAATACTATTTTAATAATGAGGCATTCTACTGTATATAGCTCAAAATTCCACTTATTCTTAGTACTGATTTAAAGGGGAAAACAGCATTTGAAATTATTTCATTGAAACTGAGGGCTTTCCCTTTTAAGTCACCAGATAGTCTCTTTTGTGCCAAGTGTGTTAAGTGTTCTGAAAATGTTACTATTTAATGCTCACCACCCTGAGAGGTTAGATTCTTTATCTGAAAATAACGACAGCAAGGATGGGAAAGATTACAAAACTGTGGGAGATCACCCAGCTGGGATTCACACTCAGATTCTCTTCTGGTCTTCTTAAACCTCTTCCAAGGCTTTCTCTGCACTGAGAATAAACCCACACTCTGCAGGACTCTGTGTGATCTGATCTCCACCGCCATCTTCAGTCTGACTTCCCTACCAATGAGTCCCAGAAGAAATAAAGCTTCTCCATGCCTCAGGGCCTTTGCATTGGCTGTTCTATGCCTAGACCACTTTTCTCATCACTTCCCATACGCTGGCTTCACTCAGATCTCAACTTGGTATCACTTTCCAGGATCAGCTTATCTAAAGTAGGCCAAGTGCTTCCTTGCCCCCCAGTTATTCTTCATTACAATACCTTGTCCTTTTTTCATTCTACTTCTTTGTGTGGTAACCTGTTTCTCTGATTTCCTGCTAGTCTGTAAACTCCATGAGGACAGGAGCTGTGTTTGTTGGGTTCAGGACTGCTACCTATATCTAGAACAGTGCTGAACACAAAAGCATTTAGATTAGAATATTGGGAGGACAGCTGAAGGGTAAATTGAACTAGATACAGTGATAAACTGGATGTGGGAGATTAGGGAAGGAGAAGAAACAAAGATTTCTCTGCTGGCTTAGCAAATGGAGGAATAGTTTTACTAATGGCTCAGGGAACACAAAACTAGAAAGAACACACAAAGAAGACAAAATAAACTTGATCTTTACCCAGAAAGCATCCTGGTTCTTCTCAACCCCATCATCTTTCTTAACAGACTGTGAAGGACTTTTGTTTTTCTGTGTACAATAAAAAACATTTTTAATTTTATTTCAAAGAAAATTTCAAATTTTAAAAATAAAAAGAAATAAAGGTTTGGATGATTTTACCAAACAAAGACTTTTGGTTTCCTCAGATTATAGGTCTAAGTAAGATGGTACTTTAAAAAAAACTTTAAACTTTCTTTAGGATAGTCTATGACAAGCTAGCACAAGAAGCAAATAAAACATCATCTGAATAAATGATCAGACAAAATAAACAAACCTAAACTATGTAGTATAACTATAAAACAGAAGGAAAGAAAAGCTTTGCATTAATATAGCATTTTCAGAATGAGAGTTTATAAAATAAAATTAAATAAAAAGTATCTTGGAGGCATCTACCTACATAACTTCAAAATATACTACAAAGCTATAAGAACCAAAATAGCATGTACTAGCATAGACCACATAGATACATAACAGAAGAACCCAGAAATCATGTATTTACAAAATGATTTTCTTTTTTTAACTTTAAAATTTTTTATTTAAAAGATGTGGGGTACAATTCAGGGTTAGGTATACAGACGTTGATTATGCAGGTACCCTTGTTGTTGAGGTGTGCCCCACCCTCCCCTGGCAATTTCCCTCAACTGCCAATCCCACCCCCCTTCCCCTGGCAGTTTCCCACTACTGCCAATTCCTTTCTTATAGTATTATGATAATAGTTCAAGGTCTGCTTATGAGTGAAAACATATGGTGCTCTGTTCTTTGTTTCTGTGACAGATCATTGAGTATCCTAGACTCTAAATTCATCCAAGTTGCTACGAAGTCCATATGTTTGTTCTTCTTTACGGCTGCATAATATTCCATTGTGTATATGTACCACATTTTTTTAATATAGTCCAGCTTTGGTGGACAGCATGGTTGGTTCCATGTTTTTGCTATTGTGAATAGAGACCCTGTCTCTAAAAAATAAACATAAATTTTAAAAAGTTTGAAGTGAGGGATACACTAATTACTGATTTGATCATTACATGTTATATCATATATCAAAATATCACTCTGAGCTAGACATAGTGGCTCATGCCTTTAATCCCATCATTTTGGGAGACCATGGTGGGAGGATTTCTTGAGCCCAAGAGTTCAAGACCAGCCTGGGCAATATAATGAGATCTCCACTCTAGAAAAAGATTAAAAATTAGCTGGATGTGGTGGTACATGCCTGTAGTTCCATTTACTTGGGAGTCTGAAACAGAAGGACAGCTTGAGCCCAGGAGTTTGAGGCTGCAGGGGTTGTGTCACTGCACTCCAACCTAGGTGACAGAGTGACCCAACTAAAAATATATATATATGTATATCATAAAAATATATATATCACTCTGTATCTCATAACTAGGTATATATGTCAATTAAAAATAATGTTGTTCATGCATAAAATCCCAGCACTTTGAAAGGCCAAGGTGAAAGGACTGCCTGAGCCATGGGTTCGAGACCAGTCTAGGCAACTTGGCAAGACCTCATCTCTACAATAAATCAAAAACTTAGCTGGGTGTGGTGGTGTGTGTCTGTAGGTCCAGCGACTTGGAAGGCTGAGGCAGAAGGATGGCCTGTATCCAGTAGGTCAAGGCTATGGTGGCTCTGAGGATGCCACTGTACTCTAGCCTGGGCAACAGTGAGACTACGATTCAAAATAATAAAAATAATAATAATAATAATACTATTATTGCAGCATTGTTCACAAGAACAAAAACACGGAACCAATCATGATGTCCACTGAAAGAAAATTGAATTTTAAAAAAATGTGGTACATATACACGACAGATTATTACATAGCCATAAAGAACAAAATCATGAACATCACAGCAACTTGGATGGATTTAGAGTCTATAATACTGAGTGATCTATCACAGAAACAAAGAACTGAGTATCACATGTTCTCACTGATAAGCGGACCTTGAACAATTATCATATACTATATTAAAAAAAAAAAAAAAGGATTGGCAGCAGTGGGAAACTGCTGGGGGAGGGCATACCTCATCAACAAAGGTACCGGCATAATGAACATTTGTGTACCTAGCCCTGAATTGTATCCCACATCTTTAAAATAAAAAAAATTATAAATAATAATAATAATAAAGGCAAAAAAGTAGTAAAAAATAACATTGATTTAATGGGTAATTGAGAGTAGAGGTAAACGTGGATAAGAGCAGTTAAAGGTAGAATTAAAACTGGGTGTTGATTACGTAGCACAAACTGACATCAAATAAACATGATGCTATGGATCCATAAAGAGTTTCTAAATTTTGTCAACAAATTCTGAATTAATAGGAAATTCTTCTATCCCTGCCTGAGAAAATACTCTCAAGATCCCTTATGTTAATCTTTCTGCCCTCTTTTCTCGAGACACACTACCCTATCTCTCCGTCAGGGCAACTCCTACACAGAGATGTTCTGCATTTTTTAATTTCTATCTCCATCCCAACCTTCTCTGGCTATGGTGGTTAAGACTCTACAAATACCATAGAACCGTTTCCTTTTCCGGGCTTTCTGGAGCCATTCTTGTGCACAGAATGGCACCACATAAAGGCCATCCTGCAGCTTTTGTGAGCAAGACCTTGACAGGAAAATTAGAAGGCAAGATAGTTTAGGCAGAAAAGATCGTTAGACTCTCTAAGAATCAGTTTCCTCATTTAAAGAATGTTCTAGCACCTCTGTGGAAGGACTGGAGTGAGAATTGACTGAGGTGATGTTTTCATAATGTCCTTGGCATAGCGTCTGGAGCATAATAATAGCTCGGTAAGTGGCAGTTATTAAGAAAGATGGTGGGAGGATGTGCCTAGGTGCCCTGGGAATTAAGTGTATCTTGACGTTAGAATGGCTTGTGCCCAGAATCTACCTCCCCAAGACTGGCTCCATCAGGACTCCAGCCATAACCTGAGCGAGGTGGAGGGAGGATGGAGCCAGACGGCAGATGGATATTCAAAAAAGTTCCTAAATCTAGGTAAATAGCTCTCACCTCTGAGAATTAGAATCACCAGTTGGCCTTACTAACAAACTAAGGGCCCCATCACAGACCAATCAAATCAGAATTTGCCAGTCGGTACCCAAGCAGCAGAATGCTATAAACACACACCAAGTGTTTTTTGTATATTGGTTGATTTTTTTGGCATCCCTGGGTGGAATTGAAGCCCATGTTTTAAAATGAAATACTTAATTATACATATTTGTGGGGCACATGTGATATTTTGCTATAGGCATACAATGTATAATGATAAAAATCAGGGTATTCAGGATATCCAGCACCTCAAACTTTTATCATTTCTCTGTGTGATAAACATCTTAACTCTTTTAGCTATTTGAAATATGCAATATATTGGTATTAACTATAGTCACCCTACTGTACTATCAGACTCTAGAAATTATTCCTTCTATCTAAATGTATGTTTGTACACATTAACCAGCCTCTCCATCATCTCCCCACAATGTGCTTGTTTTATTTTCATGCTGAAAAAGAACTTGAAGTAAAAAAAAAAAAAAACTTGAAGTACAGCAAGATACATACAAGGAAAGGTTGATATGGTGAAATGAGATTGTATTTTCCTCTTCTCTCAATTTTCCTGTTGAACAATTTTCTATAATGAGTATATATTTCTTGTTACAATTGGGATCAACTTTATTTTTAAAAGATGTCTCAATCCCAGTCATGAGTTTAAGCTTTATATTTATGACAAATTTTAAATGTTATTCTAGGACTTCTCCACTAAAATTTCAATTGTCAAACATCATAAGAGATGTGCCCAAAACATTTAGTAGTGGACTTTTACCCATTTTTTTCAAGAAGAATCCCTGGTCCATCGTCCTGGTTTTACAGCACATTATGCTGCATTCAATAACAGCATCTCATCTCAACTCTCAACAATTTAATTTAATTGAAAAGTATAATACATGCAAAATACTTTTTAAATATCTTAAAAGTTTATAAATATCTAGTTTGGGTTAACAATCCCATTTCTATACAAACTTGACCAAAACGCTTAAACATCAGTGCACTTTTACAGTATTATCATTATTATGTATAAATGTGAAAAGTAGGGTGAACTCAAAGGCCCAAAGGCAAACATTTTTTCCACCGGCAGATAATTCAAGGAATACTAGTTGAATGAACACTGAATAGTAGGCTCTCTGGCAGTCCCAGCCCTCGGCCCCCCCCGCAGCCCTCGGCCCCCCCCCAGCCCCATCCAACTGTTTTAGGGATTGCAATCTGCCGCGTGGTTAGCTGAAGTGCCAGCACTTGGGAAGACCACTGTACTGCACTTTCTATGCAGCAAGCGCGAGAGGGGGCTGGAAACCCGGCCGGGGGGCCATTCGCAGCAACTTGAAAAGCCATCTCGGTAAACACTGCTAACGACTGGCTAACAGAGCCTTAGCAAATCAGGTGGTTTTTAGCTCTCCACTTTCAACAAGCTAACGGAGGCTCTAAGTTGCTAGTTGATGGATCATTCTTAATAATCTTTGACGACGGAGCCCTGTGATTTTTGTCACGCAACTCCAAAGGAATTCAAAGAACCGCATGACATCGTCGTAATGCAATTCTTTCTGTTCCCATCTATTTATGTGCTTACATCTGTAAAGATATAAAATTAGTATAATTGATGTTGAACCTCATCTCAGCTATAAATAACATTCAGATATTCTTAGACAAGTGAATTAATTAGGAGAGAGAACATTCTAATAAAATGTTCACTTTCAATAGAAAAGCAAAGCAAAGCAAAGCAAAGCACGTCTCCGGGCTGTCTGCACAGGCCTTCCCCAGGGCCCCTTCCCCGGGCGCTTTGTCAGCGAAGACCAGGAGTCGCTATTCTGGCTCGTCTCCCCGGAAGCTGCCAGTGCACTCCAAGCAAACCAAAGGAGGCTGAAGCGCTCCACGCCTCCTGGGGGTCTCGTTCCGGCGGCCGAGGGCCGGGACCTGCGCCCGGTCTCCGGGCCCCCCGAGCCCTCACGCACCCCCGGACGCTGGCGAGGCGACACGGGTTCGCCAGGCGCCGGAGCCCTCGGGGGTCACTCACCGCCTGCATCCCGAGGTCCCGGCCTGACGCTGCGCGCCCAGGACCCCGAGGGCGACTTTCGGCGGCGCCGCGGGAGCCGCCACCCGCGGGAGGCGCTGCGGCGAGGGCCCGGCTGCAGGAGTCTGGATCGAACCTTCGGCCGGAACGCGAACTGACGGACTCGCACCTGAAATCTCTTCGAGTCCCTTGCCGGAGACTCAAGAAATGCGTGCGAGTAACTGGCACACTCAAGTCGGGCCACCTGGGCGCACGCCCGCTCCCCGCCGGGGCAGCGAATACACAAAGCACGCGAACAGCGCGGTCTGAGCATCTTTGCGTGCGAAATCCCACACTGATGGGCGGGCGTTCTCTTTGCCGAAGCTGGTGGTGTCTCCTCGGCGAGAGGAGCTGTTTCTGGTCCATTGCTCCGCATAGACCAAAGCTGAACTCTGTCTCGTAGGAACCCGACTTGTGCCCGATATTATGAATACGTTCCTGATATCACAAAGTTTTGTCGGTTGGTTGCTAAGTATCTTGGTCAATGGCAAGGAGGGGAGATTTTTTAAAATCAAGGTAAAAACAAGGTGAGTTTGTTTTCTGCCCGATTTCTTGAGTGCTAATGGCAAGGCAGAGTCATGTAGGTGGCCAGCTATGGGAACACGGTGGAAAAAGTTGGACTGGAGTTTCCTTTAAAAACAAAACAACCCTTCCATTGCAGAGATTTCCTTTGTAAAAATTGACTTGTGCCGGGCTCGGTGGCTCAGCCTGTAATCCCGCGCCTTTGGGAGGCTGAGGTGAGTGGATTGCCTGAGCCTGCGGGTTCGAGACCCGCCTGGGCAGCGAGACCTCATCTCTACAATAAATCAAAAAAATTAGCCGGGTGTGGTAGCGCGCGCCTGTAGTTCCAGCTACTCGGAAGGCTGAGGCGGAAGGATCGCCAGAGCCCAGCAGGTCGAGGCTGCGGTGGCCGGGAGCGGCCAGGGCACTCCAGTCGGGGTGACAGAGTGAGACTCCAACTCAAAAAAAAAAAATTTTGACTTACTAAACCTATGAGTATTTCATGTGATGTCTACAGAAGATATACATCTACAAGGCAAAGCATAGTCTAACAGAATCCCTGCTAGCAAGTCCAGGACTTGCATGCACTTCCAGTCCATTCAAAACGATTTTTATGTCAAAGTTCGTCATATCCATTTCCTGGCAAATATGATGTAAATATGCTTACGTTAATTTACCTATTTTAATCGAAGCCTAGTAAATTCAAAGGATTGTTTCTTTCCTTTTGAATCAATGGACTATTACAAAATTAAACTAGTAATCAACTAGCTGTGAATACAAAGCATTGTGAATCAATGCAAATATTAGGAAAAACTAAAGAATAAAAAGCAAAAACCAAAATACTACATTTTAAATATATTTTAAGAGAATATTAAAAATTTAAAGTTTACTTAATGTTAGAGAGCTGCATAATAATTATTTTCAGACTTTTGGGGGAAATATATCCTTCCAAACTCAATAGTAGCAGTACATTCAAATCTTCAGGAGAAATTAAAAATAATGTTACAGCCAACAATACCATTTATTTTATTTTCACTTTGATTTGCTTCTTTTATCTACACATTTTACCCAGATATTCTAATTCAAACTAAATATAGTGGAAACTCTATGACATTTCCTCAGACACTAGAATTCATTTAGAAATTCATTGATTTCCCTTTAACATTAAAAGGTTATTTTTATATAAATTTTAAGAGTTTGGCCTCTCTAGGAGCATTCCAAACGTATAGAGATGAAAACTATTCTAACAATGTTTGCAAGAAGACCAGAAACTTGTTTCTATACATTCTCAGAAGTAACTTTAAATGGACCATTTTGAAGTTATTTTTAGAACATTTAAAAGGATAAATTATCTTAAACAATCACATTGAATGAAATATCGATTTATTTTCAAATGAACAGTCAGTAGATTCATCTAATCTTTGAAGACAAAACAAACACAAAAAGCAACTGAATTACGGGAGTTCCGAAATCTTTGGCAGTCAGTTAATGAGTATTTGTGAATGAAACTAGTGGGTAAAAATAGACATTTCTTCGTCTATTGACCTTAATGATCTTTTGAGAGTTTAATCAGAAACTCCGACAAGACCTTTCAGAGAACTGGGGGGGGGGGGGGGGGGGGCTGGAATGAACGAATCACTTTCTTCCGCTAGGACTTCGCCCCTGCTTGGGTGGGAGACTCCAGTTTAAAGCTAGAGGTGGAAGAAAACGCGAGGAAGGGGCTCCAAAACGTACTTGGCGGTGGGGCCGGCTGTTCCAAGCAAGCCCGTCTGTGCTCTTGACTGGGGAGGTAGACCCGGAGCGTGAACGGTCCTTCGCTTCGTGAGGTTGTTTTGCACAGGCTGTGGGCTTCAAACGTCCCTGCTTTTCCACCTTTTGCCAACGGAAGGGACTAATTCTGGCAGAGACGGTGGCACCCCTCCACCCCCTGACCCGGCCAAGTACCACGTAGCACCGGGCAGTGCGCCCTGCGTGCACTCAGTGCGGACAGTGTCCAGAGCGCGCCAGTCTCCGCGCTTGGAGACGTGAGTTTGGAGCATCCTCCTAACCGTGATCTGCCTTGAGGAGTCGGCTTCTCTTCTCCGGCTAGGGCTGGGAATGGACACGTGCTGGCTGCAGAATCAGGGCGCAGAGGCGAAATTCCGGAGGCTCCTCTACGCTGGGCCCTGGGGTGATCAAAGAGCGACTTCAGTCACTTCAATTGATTTATTTTATTGGGCGTCTCCGGGTGCCGGAGTAGCCGTGGGTGAGGCGGGCGCACAGGGGAAGAAGGCTTCGTCCGAGCCCTGGGGAGCCCCCTTCGTCCTGCGCCCCTCCCCCGGTTTCTCTAGTCCCCAAAGCCTCCCAAGACTGAACTGGGGGCGGAGACAATTTTGTCGAGATATTTCCACGACCACGTCAATAAAGATTCGTTTAAAGAGTTGTGTTCAGGTGTGGCAACCGGGAGCTCGCCGACAGGCTCAGAGGGAGCCGAGGCAGCGGAGAGCGCTGTGGGTTTTCGGACTTGCGCGCGGGCGCAGAGCTCACTTCTCTCCCTCTCCCGCTACAGGCTCATTTCTCCCCACCGCCTCCGGGTCCACTTTATCGGATTCCCGTCTTGCGGGGCCAGGCTCCTCCGCAGCCCCCGGGAGAGTGGGCACACCTAGGCCCGCGAGCATGCGGGGTCGCTTGGCGCCCCTCGGACGTCCCCGAGTGTAGACTCCCGGCCATTCACTGCAGCCACAGCAAGAGCTGGGCGTGGAGGCCCGAGGGGCGCTAGCCCCTAGCTAGGAGGTGTGGGCGCACCTCTTCAGGCCAGGGCGTGCAGCATGCTCTCCTGGATTAAGTGTTGACTTTCAGGGGACTAGGCTAGAAACCCGTTTCAAACGCCTCACCCTAAGCCCCCTAGGAAACCACGGAGGCTGGGTGCGTTTAGAAGAAAAAACAAACAAACAAAACGGGGTTTCAACTTACATGAGACATTCCAACTTGCCCCCTGCTCTTCACTTCAAGGGCTCAGTTTAACCTCCCCCTCCGTTTCTGGGTCTGTCGGGAAGGAGATGACTGGCCCTGGAGCGTGAGCACTGGCGGCAGAGGCGAAGAAAGGCGGAGCCGCTGGGAAGTTGTCTCTTTATAAATGAGCAGGCAGGGGCCAGGAGCCGATGCTGTCGTCCGTCCGGGTGGAGACCTTTCAGCACCGAGGCTGAGGACAGGGCTCCGCCCGGGTTCATCACCAGGGTCCCCAGCTTCAGGATTCTGAATAATCTCTTCTCTCTCTCTCTCTCAATCTCTCTCTCTCTCAATCTCTCTCTCTCTCTCCTCTCTCTCTCTCTCTCTCTCTCTCTCTCTGTCTCTCTCTCTCTGTCTCTCTGTCTCTCCCTCTCTTCATCCCTTTCTCCTCTCTATTCCCTTGACTCCCTTCTCCCTCCCCCTCACACATACTCTACTTTCTTTTCAAAAAGCCACCTGGCGCACCTCCCCTTTTTTCTTCTATCTTCCAGGATCTTGGATAAAAGAGGACAGATGCAGGCAGAGGCGCTGCAGCCGGTGGGTGGTGTGTACTCCTACGGGATGCAGCTCAACTGGGACATCAACGATCCGCAGATGCCTCCGGTGAGTGGAGCCAGTGTGTACAGGCCATCCTGGTGCCGACCACCAGCGAGGGGGAAGGACAGTCCGTTCTTGCAGAGACTCTGAACAGACTACATACACACACACACTTCTGAGTTTCTGAGAGCTCTCAAATGAGGAAATGTGAGAGAACTTCTCTGGACTCTATAAAAGCCCAGAGTTGGGTTTAGGAGCATGTCTTCTCTTGGCAGTTTTCTTGCACTTGTCTGAAAATGCACCTTGGAAAATGTCACTCCAGCTCTGCATCCCCATCCTCAGGCAAGAGTAGTACCCAGGTCCCTCCACTTCCAGTAGAAATCAGGCACCTTGCTCCCTGTCCATTCACTTGAAATCCAAGTGAATGAGAAAGGTATGGGAGGAATCTCAGCAGATGTAAATACCATTTTGTCTCGTGTAGCAAAACTGTGAGATGCAACTGCAAACTGAATCTAGTGACCTGAATCTAAAGTAGCCAGACTTGGGCGATTAATTCAGATGTCAACGGTGGTGTGAGAGGAGGAGAAAGCTGTATAGTGACACTAGCAGACCATTCTTACCCAAAGCTTACCTCTTCTCTAATGACAAGGAAACTGTGGTTCTTTGGGGGTGAATTTGTTGTGTTTTGCTTCATGTGAAGGGGGCAAAAGTGGTTGGGACCCAAGTCCAGGAAATTAACTTGGCAGTTATGCTTAGTCATACTGGTTTGGACCAAAACTGAGGAGTAACTTTAAAGTCTTGGGTGTGGGAGAGACAGAGAGAGAATAGAAGTAGCTTCCCAAGCATTTGCAAATGTGGAGTTCCAACAATGCTGGGGCACAGGGAAATGAAACACGGCATTTATTCAGCATCTGGTATGTGCCAGATGGGTGTTCAGGTGAACGGCGATTCATTAGCAAGAGTGTGTATCCTCTCAAAGAGATCACACTCTTTTGGATCCACACATCTATAGTAAGTGTGACTTACTTGTTTGTTTTTAAGTCTGTCTACTTTAGAGCTGCACAGTACCTGTTTGTGAAAATGGCCCACAGTGTGTGTCATTCTCGCTGACTTCTGTCCTTGTAAATCTTCATAGGAAACAATATAATCTTGCACTTTAGAAAAGATTGAAAGAGTCACATCCAAACAATGCAGTCATGGCTCATCTCTCAAGTATTTTCTAGTCTTCCCATGTAAATATGATTTTGTTTAGGAGACTGGTTCTTAAGTAGGGAGTATGAGTGTAACATCTCAAAAGGGACAGGCATACTGGGACACAGAAAGAAAAGTGGAGAAATTTTACATCTCCTGCTCTGGCTAACTGAGCGAGAGTGCTAAACTGGACATATGACCTTGAGGACGTCCTTGAGGAACTAGCCTTAGCCTCAAGCTAGTTACTTGTCATCAAGTGCTGGAATGAGATAACCATCTCAAACTCTCCACCAGGTCTACTGTTGGATTCAGTATGTGTGTGCATGTGTATATACACAACATGCCAACACCTTAGAACAAATGAAATTCAATCCTGGACATCCTCTGCTCTTGTTTTGATTTTCAAAATAGAGTCTCTGTAGCTTCATGTCCAGGGTCACTACCTCCATAGCTGGTATGAGGCACAGGGGCCTCGGCTATACCCTTTTAAGGCAGTGCTAAAGAAATACTGTCTTCTGGAAGATTGTCAATTTGTTACTAACATCCTTAAGTTGAAATATATTTAAAACAAAGATATTTGCATTTAGTATAAGCTTAGAGTTGATAGTACATCATTATATATTTTATTTGTAACTTATCTTAAGTTGATGTATTGATTTATGTCAATTGTAATATTTCAGAGAAAAGATAAATAATGCCTAACAGTAATAATAATGATTTCAATAATATCCTTGTGGTTTTGGAAATAAAAAGCACCCATTTACTTATTACTGTTAGAATGTGCAGCATTAATGACATACATAAGTCTGAATTGTCCAACAGAGAATACTTTGGCTTTGCATATATTTGATCTAATTATACTGAGTGGCAGGAATGGGGAGAAGATGTACATGGCTTACTTCTGCAATAATACTCTTCTGAGCCTTTTTCATACTAAAAAGCCACTGGGGCCTGGCTGTTACAGGTCTTCTGTTTATATCCCAGCTATGCCACTGTGGGAGGTGACCTACCTAACCTCTACTTCCTTATCAAATAAGAGTAAGGATGCCCATCTTGTAAGGTGGTGGTGAGGATTACAGATATTACATAATATGGCATTGAAGGCCATGCTGTCACTGTCCCAAATACTCAATTTTGCATCATACTATGAAAGCAGCCTTAGATAATATCTGGAACAATGAAAATGACTGTATTCCAACTAGACTTTCTTATGGACCCCGAAATTTGAATTCCATATAAGTTTCATGTGCCACAAAATATAAATTCTTCTTTTGATTTTCCCCCCAACCATCTAAAAATGTGAAAAACCATTCTTAGTTTGAGGCCACACAAAAAGAAACAGCAGGCCAGATTTGACTCACAGTCCCTACTTGACTAACCGCTGTCCTAAAGAGTATCTGAAAAATATAAGGACTTAGTAAAGGGAAATTTTATGTTAGATTCTTTATATTAACATACAAAAGAGGCACTTATTGCAGTATAATGTATAAAGTAGACAAACACTCCCAAATACGAACACTAAAGCAGTGCTCAGTGTTTTAGCTGTAACTCATTATTTCAGCCATGTGGCTCTTGGTTGAGGAGAGTGGCAATCCCAAATTGCTCTGGGGAGCAGTCCAGTGCCAGGCAGGCTACCCAACACCCCAGAGCTCTCAGCTTACTGTCATGGCTAGGTCCTTCATTAGAGGGCCCTTTGAAACTTGGAGAACGAAGTTGGGAGTTGGGAGGGAAGCTGTTCTTACTCTTCCAACTTTGCTCTGGGTGTCACCACTGAGGTGACTGGCAAGTTTGGGAGAGAAAGCCAGGAGATTATGAAGAAAATGCACTGCTTAAAGACGTTTTCTAGTGAAGTTGCATTTCAGTGATCACTTTTTTCCCTGGCACTTTGATACTTAACTTTAAAATGTTTTCAACATTAAAATACCCCCAAGAAGTGGTATAACATAGTGGTAAGAAGCACAGGCCCTGGAGTAGACTGTCGGGGCGCAAATCCTAGCATCAGGTCTTGCTAGCTGTGTGACCTAAAGCAAGTCAATTCACCTCTCTGACCTTCATGTCCTGTTCTATAAAATAGGCATAATCGTCTGCATATGCTGTGAAGGCTAGATGAATTAATTCATGTATTGTAGTTAGAAGATAAGCCTTATATAAACATTATTATCCTATTGTCAGAAAGATGCACAGCCAGGATGAGTGGCATTTTGGGACTGCATAGTTTTGGGCTTAGCCAACGTTTCTGGATTTAAAAAGAACGCATGTTTACTGTTATGTGCTTGGAGAAAATTAAGAGCACGATACCGCCGTCCGAGCTTGATACGTCTGACCCGGGTCCTCCTGCCCTTCCCCCCCCCCCTCCGCAGGAGCCGGCCCTCTTCGACTGCTTCCAAGAGTGGCCCGATGGCTACGTGCGCTTCATCTACGGCAGCGAGGAGAAGAAGGCGCAGCGCCACCTGAGCGGCTGGGCCATGCGCAACACTAACAACCACAACGGCCACATCCTCAAGAAGTCATGCCTGGGCGTGGTGGTGTGTGCGCGGGCCTGCACCCTGCCCGACGGCTCCCGCCTGCAGCTGCGGCCCGCCATCTGCGACAAGGCGCGGCTGAAACAGCAGAGTGAGGGCGGCCTTCGAGTCCGAAGCTCTTTGTTCCCGACGAGTTTCCCCTTTCTTCCTTCTCAAGGGTCTGAGGTCAGGGCTGTTGATATTTTTCTCCTCTGGGCTTTACAGAGAAAGCATGCCCCAACTGTCATGCTGCTTTGGAGTTGATTCCTTGCCGAGGACACAGCGGATATCCTGTAACCAACTTTTGGCGGCTTGATGGCAACTCGATATTTTTTCAGGTAGGTTAGGCGAGAACACAATTTGTGATGGATGCTTTCATCAGACCATAAAGACCAAACCACCTGTCCTGTGCCACAGGAACTCTAGACCAAACAAAATTCAACTCCATGGCCAGAACAGGCAATGGCGCTCCCCAGGGACCTCGCAGGAACCTAGGAATTAGCTCACTTACTGTGTGCTCTTTAAGGTCTAGAGATAATGAACCAAACTATGATTACAGTTCATTTAATAGGGTGAAAGGATTGCAGGTCATCTTCTAAGATGTCTGTAATTGATGCTGTCTTACCTGTTGAAGATTTTTATTTCCTCTATCATTTTGGAAACAAAACAAAACACTTGGGATCTTGGGAGAGGCATGAATAACACCAATTTTTGGCCAACATTGTCAGCTGCCTTTAGAGGAACAAAGGTATGACTCACTTTCTTCTTAACACAGGCCAAGGGAGTCCACGATCACCCAAGACCAGAAAGCAAGTCAGAGACAGAAGCTAGAAGAAGTGCCATCAAGAGACAAATGGCCTCTTTCTACCAACCCCTGAAAAAGAGAATTCGAGAACCCGAGGTAACAGAGAGCTGACATTACACTGTTGTCTGTGTTCATTTTCATCACAAGACTTACTGATAACTATGTGAAATACAAACTTCATACATTAACTACAGAGGGTTTATTTTATGTAAATATTATATATATCCAACAAAATATTATTAAATCAACATTTGGATAGACTTTCTAATTTCTTCCTCTTCTTAAAAACAAACAAACAATAGCTACAGGCAGTAAGATAGTCATGATGTGTGCTGACATCCTAATACAAGGGTGGTTATACAATAGTAATAAAGAAAGAACTATCCAGGCATGGGGGTATGTGCCTGTAGTCTCAGCTACTCGGGAGGATGAGGTGAGAAGATCCCTTGAGCTCAGGAGGTTGAGTTTACAGTACCCAGTGATCATGCATTCCATCCTGGGTGGCAGAGTGAGACCTTGTCTCCAAAAAAAAAAAAAAGAAAGAAAGAAATGAAAAGTATGTGTATACCAACAGTGAGTTAACAGTACATCCTTGAGAGGGTCATTTTACACTATTTACACAGGAACAGATAACATTTCTTTGGGTGACTTGATTCTATTTGGCTTTTCAACCAAAGCATGCCAAGCAGGTGGAGTATTAGTGTGAGAATAACAGAAACTGACACTGATCGAACACTTCCTGTGTACCAGGCACTGATCTAAGAGTTTCACACATTTAATGGTTTTAAAAAACCCTATGATGATGTAACTATTTTTAAGCCCCATGTTTAAAATGAGGCATTCAAGAGGTTAAGTAACTGTTTAATTAGTGTGGAACAGACTCAGGATTTGAACTCATGTGGTTCATGAGTCTCTGTGACTGTGAACACAGTCTGGGGGAGAACAGGACCATGAGCCACTCAGACCCATCCTGCCTGGCTGCCACTGGCCTTTCTCATTTGGTAGTGTACTATTCATGCCTGAGCGAGCTCAGACTTAGCAACCCCTAGACCACGTGCTCAAATCAAGTACCTGAGTAGTACAATGTTCACAGCACAGAGCCCACCAACTGGAAGTTTGTTTCCTCTAACTTGGTTGGCTATTGCCACATTTGAAGTTGTCCATACAATTAGCATATCATATGTCTATATTTGTAACTTTTTTTTAGGCAGAAGAACATCAAGACAGCAGTGGATATTTCAACAACATACTTTCCCTGGAAAACCCAGAGCAATTTGATATAGTTACTGACACTGGCTTCCCTGTTCCAGGGCAGCCTTGCCCTTCCTTCCCAGACTCTGATGCTTTCAAAGCTACCTGTGACCTGGCCACTTTTCAAGGAGACAAAATGCTGCCCTTTCAGAAATATACAAATCCCAAAATCTATTTGCCTAGGCCACCTTGTAGCTATGAATTGGCAGGCCCTGGTTATACAAGTTCAAGCCCATATCCCACCCTTTGTAAAGATTCTACCAGTATCCCTAATGATACAGACTGGGTTCATCTGAATGCCCTACAATATAATGTCAATTCATACAGCAGCTATGAGAGAAGCTTTGATTTCGCCAGTAAACAACATGGTTGGAAACCAGCTCTTGGAAAACCTGGCCTTGGGGAGAGGGCTGACCATGGACAGTTGCAGGCTGTGGCCACTCGCCCCTGTTATAAGCCAAAGTTCGCTTGCAGGTACCTCACCACGCCCCCACCAGGTACCCCCGCCCTACAGACAGTGATCACCACTACCACCAAAGTGTCCTACCAGGCCTACCAGCCCCCTGCCCTGAAATACAGTGACAATGTGCAGGAGGTGAAGAGCCTTTCAAGCTGTTGCTATGCTCCTGAAGATGCCCAGATGTCCTTCTACCCAGAAGCCTTGAGCCCTCCAGCCACAGTCACCAGGGCAGCCTCTCCAGTTGGGCCAGTTCCTTTGAAAATCCCAGGAGATGGCTGGGCCATCAGACCCACTTTGGCTTTCCTTCAAGAGTCAGCTTCCTCCAGGACAGATGGAGCAGAGACTTGGGATGTGTGTCTGTCTGGGCTGGGCTCTGCAATCAGACACTCAGATAGAGTAGGTCCATTCTTTAGCTATGACAATGAGGATTTTTGAAAGTCAAACCAGGAACAACATGAGTGTGCATGAGGTGGTGAGATGTGAAGTGGCAACTATCTCTTGTTGAGTTGGGAGATTTACCTTGCATGCCAAGAAATATTGATAGTAAAAATGTTGGTTAGCTGAGGAAATAATCAGTTGAAAATGTTTAAATAGTATCAGGAAATTTCTAGCAGCATCTTGAAAGTGACTACAGTATACAGAAGTAGGTCAGGAAACTCTGATTCTCCCAAATGAACAAATAAGTGAACTGGGGAAGGTTAAATACTGACCTAAGTTCACTTAGCTTATTAGTTGGAGTAGAAGTCAAGGATCCTGGTTCTTATTCTAAGCCTTTTCCCATTAGGACCACATTAGGAAATTTCACACTCGTAGAGGCTGTCAAAGTGCTTCAGGAAGAAATTCTGACAATCTTATATACTGGATCATAGCATGAAATTTTTGTTTAGCATTTAGAACCTGTTAAAATAGCCTCAGGAAGTAATGTTGATCATTTTGTCTCCAATGTATATACAACTTTTCCAAAAAATATCTGACTTTGGTAAAGTTCAACTGTTTTCTAAAGAAATTTGGTTTTTGGCACACCTCATCAACAAGGGTACCTGCATAATGAACATTTGTATACCTAACCCTGAATTGTACCCCACAACTTTAAAATTTTTTAAAAAGGAAAAAAAAGGAATTTTGGTTTTCAGTATTAGCTGAACACCTTTCCTTTATCTGGTGGTTTTCATGACAGAGACAGCCTAACAATGAGGAGGAGCATTTAATGGATTATCATTGTCTGAACTATGTCTTTTCTGATTAGGTTTCAAAATTAGAATGGAAAAGTCTAAATATAGCTGTGCCATTCCTTTGTAAGCCTTCATAATAATAATTGATAATGTTATTCAGTTAAATGTAATAAGGACATTTTAAAGTAATATAGTTGATACTTGAGTTATTTCAAAATAGAGACTGGAAAAAAATACTGTTCCTACTATCATCTGGGAAACAGTTGTTATGTTAGCATTAAACGTATTAAATAATTTGATAATCTTGAAATTTATTTTAGGAATACCTGTTGTACTCTGTCACAACAGAAAGACTTCAAAACATTTGGGATGTACACATACTTTTGTACTGTTCCCAATATTCACTAATATTGAGTGAAAATATTCATTTTTCAAATAAAGATAAACTTCATGAAGGCCAGGCACGGTGGCTCATGTCTGTAATCCCAGCTCTTCGGGGGGTGGAGACAAGAGGATTGCCTGAGTCCAAGGGTTCAAGATCAACCTGGGCAACGTGGCAAGACCTCATCTCTACAATAAATTAAAAAATGAGCCAGTCATACTGTCTTGTGCCTGTGGTTCCAGCTACTTGGAAGGCTGAGGCAGAAGGATTGCCTGACCCCAGCAGGTCGAGGCTGTGGTGGCTGTGAGCGTGCCGCGGCACAGAGTGAGACCCTGACTCAAAAAACAAAACTACATGAGCAATCCATTTGTGAGAATTTTGGGGGATAGAGAAGTATCATGCTCAAATTTGCATAGAATAAAAAATTTACTAAATACAAGGGGGAACCATAAAAACACGGAATTTATTAAAAATTGTGTATTCTTACATATTTAAACTTGAGTCACCTTCAAAATACTCTGTTTGAAGCAACATAACTATCAGGATGCTTTTCCGCTGCTCATAACAGTTTTAAACTTGTCAATTTTGATGCTGTTGAGTGTTTCTGCTGTGTTTTGTTTCATCTCTTCCACATGAGCAATGCGTTTCCCTTTAAAGATTTTTTTCATCTAGAGAAACCAAAAAAAGTCACTTGGGGTGAGATCCAGTGAATAGGGAGGATGGGGCATGGGGGTCATGCCAGTTTGATCAAAAACTGCTGAAAACTCAACGCGATGTGGGCAGGTGTTTTCATAAATCACCCAGCAAGAAATAGGCAAAACCATTGAAAGAATCTCAAAAATAAGTTCACTGAAACTGAATGCTGCCTCTTACAACAATGTTAACTGGTACACTGATGCTGATGGGTTCCTAGAACACTTGCCTAGAGGGAGAAGCCTGTACCATAAGGGGCCTTCCCGCCAAAAGAAAATTCCGGGGTTTTTTGGGTCTCCCTCATAAATTACAGTCAGAAGCCATCTTGAATCACTGAATATTCTATATTGCCCACCTGATTCAGAAAACCCTAATGCCCTGATATAATAAATACATACAATATTTACCACAAGATGAAATAAGTATGAATACACTCCCACAATGTTCTGGCTAACTTTTTCCCAAAAAAACAGATGCCAAATACATTCATCAACTTTTTCTTTGTACTTCCACTGCCAAAACTCACCACCTACAGTAATATCTAATACTTAAATTAGCTTTTACTATGTCCTGGATGATATTCGAAGCCCAGAACATATATTAATTAATTCAGTCCTCACAACTGTCCCCTGAGCTATCTGGGATGTGAAATAACTTACACAGCAAGTAGGAGACCTGAGATTGAAATCCAAGTCCTCTCCAGAATCCACATTCATAACCTACACATTGTATTAGCTTTGATTACAGTCTTTTATCAATGAGATTCCATATATATTTAAGTGACACAGAGTAGTGAGTTTTATTACTTCTAAGTGTTTGTGTCTCAGGTCCTACACCTGAGGAATCCAGGTAGGACAGGTAGGAAGGGCCAGGGATGGGAGTGAGCAGACAGGGGTTGGAGGTCCTGAGATGAGCATTTCCCAAAGTGTAGTACCAGGGTTCCCTGGGGTACAGGGTGAGTCTAAACAGTCTATAAATATTTTATTTTCATAGTTATAAATTTATTTTCATGTATAATAGGGAAAGATATGCGTGTAAATAACACTTCAAACCTCAAACTACTGGGCTCAAGCGAAATCTGGACAGATAAAAATCCCTTATGTTTAAAAATCTCAAAAACCACAATCCCAAAAGATTTTAAAATTCCAGGCTGGGCATAATAACTCACACCTGTAATCCCAGCACTTTAGGAGGCCAAGGCGAAAGGATCACTTGAGGCCAAGGGTTCGAGATTAGCCTGGTCAATATAGTGAGACCCCCCCTATCTCTATAAACAAACAAACAAAAATAGGCAGGCGTGGTGGCACGTCTCTTTTGTGCTAGCCACTTGGGAGATGGAAGGAGGTGGAAGGATCACTTGAGTCCAGGAATTTGAGATTACAGTGAGCTATGTTGGTGTCACTGCACTCTACCCTGGGCAGCAGAGTAAGAACCTAACTCTTTAAAAAATCTAATACTAAAATCCCGAATGTTGAAATTCTGAAAACTGAATTCTGGGGAAGGGTTAGTGTATTTTCAATCGTGCACAAGATAGTTGCACTGTATTAATTGCATATGTTAGGTTTGACTATTATCTTGCTATTGCCTTTAACTGGAAGTGAAGTATGGCTTAAGGAGATATGTGTGGGTGCCAACTTGACAAGGGGTAGACTTGTCACCATGTAAACACAGTGTAAGTAGGAGAAACAGTGTAAAATGGGCTTGAATGGAGAGCTGGGCCCAGAGCTTTGAAGTCCAAGACAAGAATTCTAGATTTTATTCCAAGAGCCATGGCAAACTACTGAAGAAGTTTAAACTGAAAAATGACATGATCCAATTTATGTCTTGGGAGAAATTATTAGGATGATGTACAGATAATGGATTAAAGCTGAATTCAGTATACAAGAAGGCTAGTGCAAGTAGTTCAGGCAAGAAATGATGATTTGGACTAAATGGTAGCAGTGGAGATATAAGGAAGTTGGGAGATCCAAATGTAATTTGGAGGTAGGATTAGTGGAACTTCCTTATGATTTAGATGTGAGATGGTAAGGAAGAAGGAAAAAATCAAGAACAACTCTCAGTTTCTGGCTTCTGAGTGACTGGTGGTATCACTCTCTGAGGTATTGGCAGCTGAGAAAAAAACAGTTATGATCCCTCCATGCTTGTGACTTCTCCAGGTTATCAGATGGATATAACCCTAGAGCTCTGCAGAGAGGTCTGAGCTATAGATAAAGATCAGGATATCATAAGCATAAAGCTGTTTTTTAAAGTCTAGAATAGCTCACTTAGTAAGACAGTCTAGAGTTGTACTGTCTAATATGGTAGCTACTGGCCATGTGTAGCAATATAAATTAACTAAAATGAAATAAAATTTAAAATTCAGTTCCTTAGTCACACTAGCCACATTTCAACTACTCAGTAACCACACGGAGCTAGGGGCTGCTGCATTGAATGGCACAGAGAGTGAATATTTTCATCCTTACAGGTGATTCTGTTGGACAGTTTTGATATGGAGCTAACCTGCTGAAACTGACAACCTGTTATGAAGCCTCAATTTGGAGCTAAAAAGGAAAGATCTGATAGAGAAGATGAAAATTAGTGGCCTGATAGGTAGAAAGCCAGGATAGAGAAGGGATCACAGAACCAAACTCTTTCAAGAGAGAAGGAGGTCAACATTGCAGAATGCCACTAAGAAATTAAGAAGAATACAGAAGAGTGTTCACTGGGTCTGGCAACATGGAACCCATTGCTGACCATGATGACAGCTGTCTCCATGGGGTGATGGCACTCTGTGAGGTGGGTTGGAATGGACTGAGAGCCGATGGGAAGCAGGGAGTTGGAGACAGCAATTGTGCCCGCCAAATGTCATAAGACTGATTTTCAAGTGTGAATAAAAATCTTCATGCTTGATTAAAAACTGAATGGAGAGCTTCAGATTTCTTCCGATGAAATTTACCTTGGTGATAGGGCTTATATAGTTTGCAAACAAAAAATATATAGACTGCTCAATTAAATTTGAATTTCATATAAAGATCAAGTAATTTTTTAATGTAATTATAGCCATGCATTGTATAATGATGGGGAAACATTTTGAGAAACAATCTATTAGGCAATTTTGTCAAGTGTACATCACGGAGTGTACTTACACATACCTATATGGTATACCCTACTACATACCTAGGCTATATGGTATGCTACTGTACTGAATATTGTAGATTATTGTAATGCAATGGTATTTGTGTATCTAAATATATCTAATCATAGAAAAGGTACAGTAAAATACAGTATAAAAAATTTAAAAATTGGTATACCTCTATAGGGCACTTACCACGAATGAAGTTTGCAAGACAAAAATTGCTCTGCATGAGTGAGTGAGAGGTAAGTGAATGTGAAGGTCTAGGACATTACTGCCCACTACTGTAGACTTTATAAACACTGGGCACTTAGGCTACACTAAATTTATTTTTCAACCATTCTTTTCAATAATAATAACCTTAGCTTACTGCAACTTTTTAGATATAAAAGGTTTTTTTATACTTTTTTAATAATGCTTTTTAAACTTTTGTAATGCCAGGCTCGGTGACTCAGTATGTAATCCTGTGCTTTGAGAGGCTGAGGTGAGTAGATTGCCTGAGCCCACGGGTTCGAGACCCACCTGGGCAACTTGGCGAGATCTCATCTCTACAATAAATCAAAAAATTAGCCGGGCATGGTAGCGTGCACATGTAGTTCCAGCTACTTGGAAGGCTGAGGCGGAAGGATCGCCAGAGCCCAGCAG